TCTTCGCACGCAGCAGACAATCGTACATCCGACGATGGAGGTTCCTGGCAGCTGTGATGCCACCAATAGCCGTCATGATCTGGCCGAAGAATAGAGCGACCAGTTGGGAGAGGCAGATGACACCATATATCCCCATATAGTAGGCCACATTACGGGCAGCAGGGGACTCGGGATGAGCCGACCATTTAGACAACCACCACGCTGCTGTAACTCTGAAGCCTTCACTAGAGGTGAACATACCAATAATGGTGATAGGCCAGGTCATAGCTTTAGCATACAACCTGACATCAGAACGGCATGAGCCTCGAAGCGACGTGATAACAGCACAGAAACTTCCTACTACAACTACCGTGCTTACTTGACAATTCTCCACTGTACAGCGCCAGTGGCTCTCTCCTCCGTTTTCACCAATGCCTTCGTCGCCTCCTTCTCCTTAGCCATCTCCTCACTACTGTCCGCTGTAGACTCAGTAGCAGAGCCACCAGAACTGCTATTGGACTTGTCGTTATTCATACTGGCATCATCTGACTTGGCCAGAGATACCAACCTCCGGAACTCAGAGCAGTTCTCAGTGAGGTCGGCAGGAGTACCAACACCAGCAAGACCACCCTTGCCATCCATAACGATAACCCAGTCGGCTGCATGCACGAACTCTACTCTATTGGTGACCAACACTCTTGTACGACCCAACATCATGCCCTGTATACCCTCTTGGAAGGCCGCTCTGAGGCAGACAGGAGACTTCACATTAACAACCTCACAGTACTAGTTCTCACTCTACTACTATTACTACCTAGCTACAGATGCATCCAAGGCACTGATGGGATCGTCCATAAGGACCAGTTCATATTCAGAGTACATCGCTCTGGCCAAAGCCAATCGCTGCTTCTGGCCACCCGACATGTTCACACCTCTCTCGCCGATCTCAGTAGCGTCACCTGAGGCAATATATATGGCCGGAGGACCGAGAGAAGTGGAAGGTCACCTGCTGGGAAGATGAGGAGGTCTCTGGCCAGCTGACTGCATTCGATGGCTTGCTTATATCGTTCCTCATCATAGGGCTCTCCAAAGAGGATGTTGTCCCTTACAGTAGCATTGTATATCCATGCTGTCTGCGGTACATAAGCCACCCCTTCTCCAGCGCTCCTATTCGCCACACTACCAGCCTACCAATACTACCACTACTAATCTTAGTTCAACACGTGCATCCTACCAGCTTGGGCATCTGACCCATGATGGCCTGCAGGAAGCTAGACTTGCCACTAGCCGAGGCTCCTATCACGATCGTGAGCTTATCTCTAGGAATAGTGACATTGATGTCCAACCTGACGGAAACAACATTCACTCGAAATGCACACACCAGCAGAGTAGCCACAGTACAGCTCAAAAGTGCGTCGAGGCTTGGGCGTCGACAATTCCCCATGGCCATGTGCAGACACCCACGAGAATGTGGCATCTGTGATAGCCTGAACTCAGTGTAATGCACAACCATAAGTGCTACTGGGGTACTACTACCAAGTGGTCGGTCGGGGACAAATCGTCCACCTTCGATGCGGTCCTAATACGAGTGGACTCGTCCAACTCGGGGAGTTTAAGGAAACTCTCTATACGATTGATCGACACTATGCATGCCGAAATCTGGTTAAGGACGTTAGGCAGCTGCATTAGGGGGAAGCGGATGACGTTGAAAAGACTTAGCGATGTGAAGGCTTTCACCTGACACAACCAGCAACAGCAGCATACGACGACTATATAGCATAATCGCCTACCGCAGTTAGAGGAGGGTTGCCCGGTATGAGTACGTAAGCCCCAAAGGACACTACCGATACCAATACTGGTATAGCGTTGATGAGGAAGCTATTGAAGGCTCTGCAGGAAAACAAGTACATCCAACCCAAGTGGTGACACCACAATACCTGACTTCCGCATAGTCCTTCAGTTTAGATAGTTCCTTATCCCTAGCTTCCTCTGTCTTCAACTTAAAGCTGTCCTCCCAAGCATAACACTTCACAATCTGCATCGCCTCCATCGTCTCTGACACCTAACCTCAGACATTCCCCCTTTGCCCTCACCAACACTTCCCATCCTCACCAGTCGCAGCCTCTCATCGGTGTACCCCTGAGCGGCTTTGATCTTCAAGAAGAGCCAACCAATGATCTTCTTCTGGACCGGTACCATCACTACCAACACCAAAGCACCCATCACCGATGCCATGCCCAGCTCCTTATACAGCAGTATCTGTCCAATACAGGCAAGTCTCCCTCACTGGCCTCCCCCCTAGAAACTCTACCATTGATATTGCAATCCTGAGTGGACCACTCCACGCTGTATTGCCAACATTGCATAGCATCTGCAGGGCGTCAACGTCGGAGCTGATCATGTTGGAAACCTTCCCGCTCGAAGTGTTCTGTCTCGAGGCGATCGATAGCCTACCAAAAAGAAGGGCGCTGAGTAGTCGAGACCACCAATGACACTAGTACCTCATAGACTTCCTGAAAATGGCCGACATTAGCGTAGCCCTGACCTGGCAACCGACTCTCATAGAGTGCCTATAGAGGAAGCAGGATCCTAGTCCCCGACCAGTGAATTAGCAGCGACGCTCTACCAGTGTGGGAAAATATGCACATGGTCAACTACATGTGTAAGTGACATTCGTGGAAAATTGAGGAATTTCTCATTGGTTTCTGTACACTTCTACTCGAGTCCGTATATAAACTTGTATAATTAGTGAGGAAGCTCCTGGTTTCGGCTGAGGAAAGCGATCATATATTCCAACACTGCGCCCTACTGAAAGTATTGTGCTTCCCCGAGAGCTCCAAAGACTTGTGTGAGGAACATAAGGACGGCGACAGTGAAAGCCAATTCAACATAGCCTACAACGACAATACTCAAGGAAGCACTATGGCCTATGGACTTACTCCATTCTCCCGTTACTGCAGCTTCGTAGAGCGTACTCAGCATCCAGCCCATGAGCATGGGCAGGGCAACCTGCGACCCGTCGTTGGTCGTCTTCCTGAAAACGTGTCCTTTCTTGTAAATCCCTCAGCGGCTGTCACTACCATAACGCTGCCTTCAGCATAGGAGACCACCAGATGCCCACACAGGTCTTGAAGAGATGCTGATTTCGCTTTTCCTAAGCCGATACCACACCAACTCCAAATTATGTACCTCCCCTCAACCTACGAAATCAGTCTCGAGCCGGTTGACTATGGGGTCCACACGATCATACGATGCCAATTCGGGCAAGTCCCCATCCATCAACGGCCGCTTATATCTGTCATCACATCAATGAGGTTCATACTCATGCACCCGAACGCCTACCCTAGTCGGAGCAACGGAGTCATCCACCCAAACGTGAGGTCCGATAACCAGCTCGCAGCTTCCTCGGGGTTCCTCTGCCCGCCACTCGGCTTCTCTAGAGCGTACGATCAGAGTTCGACCAACTGTCAGCAACTTACCCTCGACTCCTCCTCCACTGGGCACCTCTCCAGTGTGGTCTGCGGCAGCCAGTAGGGGCGCTTCAAGGTCAGTCCCTGTGAGAGGCATGATGGCCAGCAACTACGCGTGTGGGGGGACCCTACCTGACTCGTTGGAGGCCCTAGCGTTCGAGGGCCAGACAAAAATAGAAAACAGAAACAAAACTGTTGCTGCTGCAAACTGCAGACAGTAGAGGACGAAGAAGTAACTGTAACTTCGGAGGATCTAGGGAGGAGACGGTTGCCGTTGAATCGACCCAATTCCAATATCACATGCATGGCAAAGTACATCTTGATCACCAAAGCCGAGAAGTAGAAGACATATGCAAATCTCATCCATCCGCCCCCCGGAGGCGATCCTATCCGTCTTTCTGCGATTAACGTGATAAGAGTGAGCCCCCAGGCAAATACGCCAAGACCGCTGGAGAAAATCTGGCAAGGGGGGACGTATGCTGAGAGATGGGATGCTAGGGGGGACTTGCCTCGTAAGGAGCCAGCTTGGGTGCTTGCACTAATTCACTCTGACCTACGCGTGCATTCAGTTGACACAGCGGTATAACCATCAACACCTGAAATCGGCAGCTGTGGTAATAATATTTTTTAATCAGAAAATACGGTTACTACTACCAGTGCCATGAGCTCCTTGACTCCATGCCAGAAATGAGATCTCAGTTTCCACCGTCTCCCTTCGCCTTTCCGGAACACTTTCCACAGCTTGCGTAGACGTATCAAACAAGTGATGACGAGGACAATGTGGGCTAAACCGATGAAAAAGACGTCTTCAAAGCAGGGGGTAAACCCTCGCAGTGCGAAGTACCTAAAGGCGTTACTGATAGGAGCCGGTCAATAGTGCGAGAACTACTGATTGAGTTTTAGGCTAAAGAGCTCCTGCCACTCCCAGGGTTCGCAGAAATCACTTATAAAGGTGGTAGAAGGGGAATGCGCCGCCATAATGGGCTCGGTGAATTGATAAGGAATAGCACTGTAGGATAAGCGTTGTCGCTGAGAGGGGCCACCACTCGCTGCCTCTCATCGCTGATGGGGGCCACTCCCAGAAGCCACACCCGTTGTTGAGGACTACCAGTAACTCAATACGAAGCGCGGAAAGACTATTCAAACAACATGCCGGTGGGAGGACCATCTCCTTCCGTTCTATACAAGAGGAATGTGATGAGGCATGCTTGTATGACTGCTCCTAGTAGGGCTGTGGAGTCTCCATTATAGTGACGCCCATCTGGATGGGCATCCCTAAAGCTGTTACTTTCCATCCTACCCCATCGCTAAGCAGCAGGCTTGCTCTCTTATCAGATCTCAACGTAACCGCGTGCATCCCAGTCCCCTATCATTAGTGCTCATACGCACGATGGTATCTCAACTTTAGAGAGAGTTAGAAATTCGAGGTCTTCCGGATCTTAGTGCTCAGCCGATTGAAGTGTCAGTTGTCCCCGATTCGCCTTGTAATGGAATACGAAGTTTACTTCGGCTGCAACCTCGTCGGCACCATTGCTGTGATGATGGTATTTTTCTACACCTATTGCAATGCCAAGCCCATAGGGAACAAACTGGAGTGATGAGGAGTGTACTATTGAGCGAGGTGAGTGCAGGAGATGATTGAAGTCGTATGTACTGAAGGGCTTCAACCTGGACAGCTTCTACGAAGGACTACCGCTCAGGGTGTTGAATTGGACGTGAAATTCTCATAGATGGAAGATGGGGTCGATTTCGTCTGTTTAGGTTCGACATTATTGGGACTATTTTGGTGATGAACTGGATGTGGATTCCCGTATCGGATTTGGAACTTCAGCAGCAGGAGCGCCATACCTCGTTTTTCGATGAATTAGTGTCGTGTTAGAGCTCTAGGACGGTTCGTAGGTGGAAACCCTCCGTGTGATAACCTCAACTCATTGGAAGGCCTAAACAGTGACCTTGCTCCGTCGGCAGAACGGTGTTGACAATATCAGCTATACGTCTTCGAGTTGGAGATGGAGGCGCGGCCCGATTTCACTGTAGTGAGTGCAGCTAATATAAATAACAGCTAACATCCACAACCCGGCTCACCAACATGAATCGTTATATCATAGTTTATTTTGAAGTTTCCTTGTCTTTTATGCACTCGATGCAGACTTAACGTTATCGGTAGGAACATCTTCTATTATGTCCGCGATTAGGATGGCGTTCGAAGACAAAGAAGCGAAACGGTCCTATCAGGACTTCGGAATGTCACTCCTTAGAGTCGGTGTAGCCGCTACAACGTGGAGTGCACGTGATTTTATATCGGCAATGAAGGCCAATGAAGGCAGTGATATTTACGGTTGATGTTGTTGCAATCAGAAAATATCTTCGGAGATATCCAGGTTGCTCTCCTGAAAATCTCCGTGATAGCTGAACTTTTCAAATAAACTGGACGTACCGGGATTTGAACCCGGGGCCTTCTGCATGCGAAGCAGACGTGATACCACTACACCATACGCCCTGATGAATTTGTTATGCAGAACCGGCAGTCTATAGTTAGTCAATGCGACTAGGTTCTTCAACACACTCGAACGTCATGACCTTTGGTCGTAGTCTCTGGAGAGAGCCGACTCGAGCTTCCCTCTCTAGTAGTGACCGAGCGCTCCGGTAACGTATCCGAGTCTAGGCATTAGCTACTTCGAACTGCACGGCCACTACCAGCTGCCTCCCCGAAAAATACCAGCGAGTGCCCGACGCGATTCCTCGGAGCTCACGAGCAAATCGCTCCCAAGTTTCTCTCCACGACAGCAACTTAAGAGAACGAGAGAATCTCTGTCTGCTCAAGTCCTCATATTGAGAACCTCAAAGGGGATGGGTACACATCATAATGAAGCACAGGCTTTGGGACGTCACGCAAGGCGAGGGAAACCGGTCTATGCTATTTACCTCTGTCGGGCCCAGTGCGTTCGTTGATACCAGTCGCAATGTGAACCAGAGGCTTTATCCGAAACACGCCAGCGAGCCTCAATTTCACAACGGAGCTCATAGAGCGAGTTCGCGCGCGCTGGGGAAGGTAGAGAATGGGCCAGCTCTAAATTAGAGCTGGCCCATTCTAGAGCCTCTAATGCCCACATCTAGTGCCAACTGCTGCTGTCAGCAGCCCATGACTGATACTTATCCTTACACACATCATGCTCTTGTGTGATAAGTAGTGCGAGGACACCCCAGGAGCAGTGACCTTCCCACACATGAACACGCCTAACACGTGCCAGTACTTATCAGTTACACTGTTACTCTCCATTATCAGAGCTAGTACATGAACTCCCTTCCTCAGAGTTACATTATATTGACAATCGACCGATCCACAGAGCAAACCAATGTCCCGGGTTCGATCCGAACGGTCGGCATCTCTCAAAACTCACTATCGTAAACACAAGTCCGCATTGAGGGAGGCCGTTAGATGGTGGAGAGTAGTGATCGATAATACACGAAGAGAAGCAGATCTTCTTAACAGCATACCCGATTGGCGCTTCCGTTGAGACCAAAAACTGCCGTCGCATTACCCACGAGGATATTAACATGCACATTTCCTAGCGTGCTCCTCAGGCTCAGAGTTACTAGCGTTCAGCTGAATATCAACGACTGAGACGAGCGAGCAATCTCGTAGGAAGGACCGATGATAGTATTACTCTGATTCTGCCCTTGCTGACCAGCACCTTGATCATTGGATTGAGGTAAGGCAGCAGCAAGCTTCCTGAATAAGGCCTTAATGTTGTACCCAGCCTTAGCACTGCATTCGGTAAACATAACGCCCTGCTCCTTAGCCTTCTGCTCTCCCTCTTCCGTAGAAACCTGGTGATCACGTAGAGTAGTGATATATGGGAACTAAAATACCTGTCGTTTGTCGGCTAAATCTGTCTTGTTGCCCACAAGCATTATAATGACATCATTACCCCTCTCCGTACGGACATCGTCGATCCACTTCTCACAATTCATAAAGGATGCCCTAACACACGTCTCTTCCTACTATTCACAAGAACCTCATCTTTTCTACTTGTTGGTGATATCGTACACCACAACAGCTACACTGCTATCCCGAATGTAGGAAGGAATAAGAGACCGGAAGCGCTCCTGGCCAGCTGAAGGGACGAACCAACGATAACCTCTACCACACCTCCGCCACATTATCCCTACCAGTATCCCAAAGCTGGAGTCTAACAGTACGGTCCTCAAGGTACATCGTCTTGCTAAGGAAGTCGATGCCAATAGTGGCCTAAAGAGAGAGAGGTATGTCGACGGCTGAGATGTGGCGCTTCTACCTGATAATTGGAGTCGAAGGTATCGTACATGAACCTAGTAATGATAGAGGTCTTCCCGACGGCCTGCTCTCCGAGGAAAACAAGCTTGTATTTGTTCAAGCCGCTGCTCATAATCAGATTTATTATAACTGGCAAAATCCGACCGCATCCTTCTACCACTGGTGGAAGTTTATACGAGACTTGACGCTTTTTCAAACAGAAACAATTTCACTCAGGCGTAGCGCAGGTGGTGTCATTTAGTACAACTCCACGGGATGACGGAGCACACAATGCAACTCGAGCAGTAGGGATGAGCTATTGCTCATGAATGCATCTATAGTATGCTCACCTCTACTTCTGATACCCATTCTAGCGGCTTGAACTCACGATGAATGTGAGAAAGTTACGCATGACTTATCCGTTGGCCGATGGTTATTGCTCGTCGTCATAATTGAGGAATTGCAAGATTCTTCAAGTGAGCAAGTTCGTCTCGTTCCTGCTCGTTGTGTTTTCATCGCGCCGTTGACCCATGAGATGCGAGAAGGGAGCGAGAGCAGTTCGATAGGAAGCATCTCTGGCCGAAGACGGCAACATTCTCGCATGTCCGAGAGAATCGCCAAAGACAGGTAACGTGAATCGGGAGGCTTAGAGCCACCTCTCACTAAGGGGGCTTCAGTCAGTACTGTATTCGAACTGGTTACATCTTTGTTTAACTCGCCAGTACGGAACACCTCTACGAAACACAGGAAACTCTCTTATTATCTCATCTGTTCAGACTAGACGACACAATGGGAGAAATGAGCACCACGAAGTCAACTCTGCCAGATCACCATCTTTCCGAAGAGATCTATGCTGAAGGCACACGTATCAATGGGCTCTACGATGAGGCTAGACAGCTCGAGGACGCAGCCGCTAAGAGAACACGCCTTTTCAACGAGAAACTATCACGCTTAGAGGAAGAACTACGTCGAACTATCCTGGAAGCCACTGAGAACTCTAACATGTATGAAGTCCGTATTCGAACCCTTGACGAGGAAGCAGGCAATCTTAAGGCTTTGCTGAGGACCAGCGAGAGGCAGTCCTCTGACCTGGCAGGAGAAAACGCTAAACTTAAGGAGGAAATAACAGAGCTCAAGATGAAAACTGAGAGCTTCGACAGAAAAGCATCTGAGTATAGGACCGAGGTTGAATCCATGGTAGGCTTGCGGACCTAATTCGCATCTTACATCGTCCAACCTAGAGATACGGTGTGTGAAACATGTTGTGAGAATTCTCCATCGCCTATTCAATGAAGTCGTTATTTCCACAACCACACAACTACTTCTCAGATAAAACTGTCAGAGCACGACAAGGCTAGATGCAAAGATCTCGAAATGCAAATCACAGACCTGGAAGACCTCAGAGCTGGGGAGCGCTCCCGCGATCTGGCCCGGATCCGCGAACTCGAACGGGGGCTCGAAGCTGCCCAGAGGAAAGCTGATGAGCTGAAAGAACGACTGAATGAGCCGCGCTACACCGAAGGGCCGGACTTCGGGGTCCAGGCGGACCTCCCTGATGTGGAGATGGTAGGGGAATGCGAGAGGTTGAAGAGCTTGCTCCGTAGAGTCTCTGAGGGTGGTTACGCTGACGGCTCGCTTGGCGGGGTTCCGTGTAACCGCTCGGGTGTCTGTGAGTTAAGACTGCCAATTGACTGGAGTAGCCGACCTTATGCTGTTGAAGTTGAGGTCTCGGTAGACAAGGATAGATGGTCAGCAGCAGGCATGCTGCAGTTAGGAGACGGCTCAGAGAAGGGGTGCTCCCCAACTGACGGCGACGTCCCCTTGGAACTTCTCATGATCGTGGACCGCACTGGAGAGGAGGTCGTCGGGCAGTTCCTCATGAGCCTATCAGACCGCGGCCTTTTCACTATCGGTCTCGAACGGAATAATCGCGGTTGGGACCTCAGGGTGCGGTTGCGGTATGGATCTCGAGTGCCGCAGTTAGAGCGTCTCCTGAAGAATGCACAGGAGGAAAACTCCATGCTGTTGGCTGACGTGGCCAAACTCAGAGATCTAGAGAACGCGTTGGAGAGCGCTCGAGCTGAGCGGAGCCTTCTAGTCGGCGAGAGGGACTCAGCCAGAGAAGAGCTGCGTGCAGCGAAGACAGCGTTAGCGGCGGAGAGGGATGCCAAAAGACGCCTGGAGGAGGGCGGAGCGGAGCTTGTACCGAAAGAACCTTCCCGCTTTGAAATTGATGTGATGTTCGATCAGGAGGCCACGACTAAGTCCAGAGTTGAGGAGGAGCGGAGGAGGGGGGACTCCCTACAGAGAGAGGTAGATAGGCTCAGACATAGTCAGCAGGTGAGACGTGGCTCGATATGTAGCTGAACCATGTTGGTCCCAGGATCCCTATCGACGGGAATCCGGTCAGGCTGAGAGGCGCGATGGTCAATATCAAAGTCGCGTATCGAAGAGCCTCATGGGTGGTGAAGAGGTGGACGTTTTCAGGAGATCGGTGGGTATCGTGAGTACGCAGATGCGGCATCGTCACTTTAGGACACTACACATCCTGAGGGCCACCGAGGTAGAATGACCGACAACAGACACAACCTGCCAGCCACGGTAGGCTGTTGTCAAGCTGCTGCTGTTCAGCATCATGCGGTTCTCTGGTGTTCCCTCCGGGCCTTCCATAGAAATCACCACCCTGCTGCCTCAGACCAATGGATACTCGCGCAGTTTAGACCCTCACTATCCTCCTTCCCCCCTCCACATTCTACAGTCGGAGATAGACCGTCTAAGGGATGAGCTCAGTGCCTATGAGAGTGGTTGGGTAGGAGGAAGGATAGTGCCGAGCAGTGTGGGGGAATATGTGTTGGTGACGATATGGAAATTCTGAGGAAATTTCTCATTGGTTTCTGTACACTTCTACCGCAAGTCGTGTGTTAACTTCTAAGAAAACTCTTCAACTTCACTGAGGAGATCTCCCAGCACTGTTTCGGAGTACCGTTCACGCTCTGCCTGGTGATAGGCTCCCGACCTAGCGGCTCTTCTGGCGTCTACCCGGGACAGGGCGACGAGGGCCGAGATGGAGGTGGCTGAGCTGCAGGCTGTAGTCGAGGGTCGCGGAGTAGGCTCGGGTCATGTTGCCCTTTGTGTCAAGAAAGGGATCTCGCAGGTATCGGGTTTAACGCCGATGTTGGATGGAGAGAGGAGGAGGGGAGATCAGGCCGAGAGAGAGGTCCTCAGGCTTAAGGAGGAGATACGTAGGAGACAGGTAGCCTCTCTAGGGTAGAGGGGAGGGGACACTCGGGCTGGTCTAGGAATATGGTCGGGATAGCGAGGCGTTGATGCGTCGAGCCGAGCGGGCTGAGGAGGAAGTGAGGCGGTTGAGGTGGGAACTTGACAGGTGCCAGCAGGCTGAGGTACGCGGGATTCAGCGTGGGATACCTCCTATGTTCCACACTAAGTCGTTCGCTCTGCTGTTCCTCTGCTCTACCCCCAAGCCCTCACCGAGCGAGAGCGTTTAGGTTAGCGATAGTGTTTATACCGAGAACGCCGAGATGGAGATTCGGCGGCTACGGGAGGAATACGTAGGAGTATCACAGCTCGATACTGGGATGGCTATTCAACGTGCTCAGGCCACTCTGATGCATCGAGAGCAGCTCAGTGCTGAGTGGACCGAGGAGGAGATCAGGCGTCTTAGAGACGAGCTGGAGGCCTTCGAACAGGGACATGTAGGCTACTGCCCTTTCTGATCTCCGTCCACAGTAGACTCTCCGCAGAACCCCGACCTTGCCCGAATCATTGACCAGGAGAGGGCAAGAGCAGCACGGGCAGAGGCGGAGGTGCGAAGGCTCCGGGAGGAACTCCGGAGGGTGAGAGGCACACCGATGTCTTGGCTCACGCAACTGGTCGTCTCTTGTCCTCAGTCTGGAAGTGCTCACGTCAGCGTCGAGCTGAGAGGTGCTCCCGACCAGCCCAGGGTGAGTACATGCAGTAGACCTTATAGGTAGCGGTTACAGTGTTCTTCCGGTTCATCAGAGTCCCTCTCCCGATCTCTTGGAGCTGGAGAAGGAGCGTCGCCGTGCCCAACAGGCGGAGGCCGAGGTACGCCGTATGCATGAGGAGCTTCGCATAATAGAAGGATCGGAAGTCATTCCAGACCCTCGAGAACCCCAATGACAGTATTTGTTCAGTGTCCCGACATAGTCCCAGCCCTTGATGCTGAGCGGAGGCGGGCGGAGCGAGCTGAGAGGGAGGTCCTGCAGCTCATGGAGGATCTCCGAGTCGCTCAAGTAGGAACTTCTCTGCTCACCTCCCTCCTCTACCTCCCGCGCCTGTTAGTCTTGTGGGTCCTGTTCGTTGGGCCCAATCCTAGACGATGAGCGCCGACGGGCTGCGTGTGCTGAGAGGGAGGTATGTCGCCTCCAACGAGAACTCTGTGAACTACGAGTAAGGGCAACGCCTCATTCTGATTCCATTCAGTGTGTCCCTTCAGAATCTCGGTCTGAGCTCTGACCAGTCGAGTGACTTCGACATGGTCCTCCATCTACAACAACACATCCAGGTCCTACGTAATGACCTCGACAGAGCTCTGCGAGACCGTTACGAGACTTCCCGAGCCCCTCTTCCTGCCTAGGCACATGCTCATCCTTGTTAGTGTACTTGATGTGTTACTGTTTGTCCTGGTGTCCTTTGATCCCCGTTTCGTGTGTATTGTGAGTCGTAAATTAGCACCCGCGGTTACTCAGGGTTGCTCTCCGACAAGTAACGAACGAGAGCGGTACGAGCGGATTGTACCTGTACTCCTAATCTCATCATCATCCTCGGAAGAGACGGCGCCAAACTGCTTTCACCAATTCAGCACAATACAATCGACAGCTATATTAATATGATACCACCACTAGCTAGAGTTGATACAAATTCATAGCCCACTATCGGGGCCTCAGTTTATGATGCAAATAATAAACCATCAGCACTCTTCTGCTCTGGCGATAGTATCATCATGATACCCTCGTTGGTGAATGAATTGTACAGAGTAAACTCAGCACAGCGTTCGTACCAATGAACTGTTTCAGCTAGGCAGTGCTACTTCATCAGGTGACTTGTCTCCAATAGCCATATGCTCAACTTTCCCCTTTTCGAATTGCCCTCAATATTCCATCCTTGAATTCGCATACTCACTCTGAGTCTTTCACTCATACTGCCCGACGCGTGTGCCGTCCGGGTTGAACCACAACAGTACACGCCTAAAATGTCGTTGTGAAGGTGAACAGGGCTGTGCTACAGTTGCTTGACAGCCGTCTAGACAAGATCGCCTCGTACTATAAGTAGCTAATCACCAAACTAGGTTAAGGGCGGCGCGTGGTACAACAGCGCGTCGTCTCCAGGCTTCGCTGGCGGGTGAGATGGCTGGAATATGGTGGGTTTGTATCGGCGTGTCACCCGCATGTGAGCACAGTGGGAGACTTACAAGGAGGGTGAACGACGAAGAACAGAATCGAAGATAGAGGTCAATGCAATAGCAGGTTACCCCAAGCGACATGATAAAAATATTAACATACTTGTGTGAATCAACAGCAAGGCCGTAGATGTACCCTCACAGTGGAAACGTAATTTTTACTCAGTGTTTGGACAACCTATCAATCATCTCGGAGCAACTTCCCATGGCCGCTATAATACGGTCGATCGAGCCAATATCAACAGCATCGTCTAGCCTCTTCGAAAGGTAATTCATCTTCTTCTCAAGAGACTCTGGAAGGCATTCAATCACACAAACGTTCTTCCCTCGTATGCGATAAAGATGAGGCAACTCACCAGTCGCTGTTCGCCTCCATCCTGTGGACTTTTCTTCAGTTTTCACTTCAACAGAATCAGCCTTGTCAGTGCACGCCGACTGCTGCAATTTCTCTTCCCTCTGCTCGACCGGACTTGTTGACTGCTGGGGAATACCGTTATTGATTTTCGGTGCCTAAACAGGGGAGGATACCCGAAGTGATCAGGCCTGGCTAGGTAGTACCTCATCAGTGGGCCATTCAGTATGGCAACCAACACACATCATCTTCACTCGATCAGGACTCCGCATAAGGGGGATGCAGCATTGTGGACAGGATTCACCGAGCATTGCCCAACCCTTGAGGAGGTACTCTCCAATAGCTGCTGACGTGTCGGATGGCATGATGATAGGAATCACAGTCTAAAGCATACCACAACATGGTCAACTTTCGATCGAATAGTGTAAGAACAACAGATGTGGACATCTTGAAATGCGACGGTTAATGATAATGGTATTAAAGCGAATCTCAGCAAGTGCCTCATTGAGGCGAAGTCAAGCACTCCTGTAAGCGATAATGATGATGTTGAGGAATATGAACATGGCCAAGATCAGTATGCACTTCATCACACGGCTCGATCTGAAAAACATGACATGATGACACACTGCAGCTTTATCAATACTACCGTTGTGCTCTCTCAGCCTGAGTCAACTGGACGTTGGCCTCCCTCGTTTGGTCAACCGCGTGTTCCATATTATAGTCGATACGGTCGAGCACCTATCACCATCACGTTCGCAAGGAGCCATCTCAATAGCCGCTGTTGATACCGTGCCTTGGTCAATGACCAGCACCGCGAGTTCCTTGAATATTTGGTTCAACTCTATTATCGATTGAGCGATCTTGCCAATCTCCTTGGACCGCTGTGTTGCATTGACTTCCAGTGCCTGCCGACGACTGTAGCAATAGCTCAACCGCACCACGATAAATGTCGTATTCGATGAGAGTATTAATGCCGCGAATTCGTCTATAAGACACTCCCCTTGAACAAGTCCCATTATCACCTCTAGTTCAAGGACTTGCTGATCGTCGAAGCCAGCATCATCGAGGACCCCCTTCCCCCGGCTTTCTCCATCGTCTTCCCAAAGATTCACATTTTGCCTCTGTCGAACCTACATCATCAACGAACGAGTGATATCAGCTAAATGCTTTGCATATAGGTATTAATAGTAGTAGTAGTAGTACTTCCTTCAAAAATTTCCCTTGCATGGATTTGAACTCGCCACTCAGCCCCTGCATCCGATTTGCCAATGCCCGAGCGGCGTTTTTTCTGAATCAACAGAAGAGGTGACAAAATAATCTCCTCTAGACTGCATAAGCATATAGAGGAATTCGCCCGAGTAATTGAGATCCTTCCCGGTACATGAACACACTTGAACACTCTCCATAAAAGACTAAAACTACGACGGTTTTTTGTCCCTTTTCTACGACCTACCTCACTAATTATCGAACGAGTAAGCACCACCCATAGTCCGTATTACCGGCACTCCTCCATCTTCGAATCTTCACCTGGGGTGTTCCGGACGAGATCCTTCAGTCGAATCTCGCACTTTCGAAAGAGCTGATTGACTGCTGTTGATATCGCATCCAGCTGAGAGCGCACAGAATGAGGTCGATCTGGACCATTACCATTTCAGTCGAAAGCTCCAGCTGGATGTCACACAGGACAGCAGTCCCAGAGTCCAAACCATGCATAACGCATCCCACCACTTCCTGTGGAAGTACTACCTCTGCATCTTGTAAAGACTCAGAGCCCGAATGATCATCGAAAACCTTGAGGAGCCTCTTCTGCTGCACACTTCGCAACTGCGATAATCGTTCCTTAATTTGAGTGAGATAGTCACTGATCTCCGTCTGGATATCGAACCACTGACAAAGACCACTATAGAGCTCAGAGAGGCTTTACTCCAGACTACTTGAGGCGGCAACGTTGCCATTTCCACATCCACCACCTCATGATTAGAGACGTTGCTTCCTGTCGAAGTCAAGAGGTACCGGTTGTGATTGTTCGATTGTCTTCCAAGTCCCGAGCTTGCAACTGAACTGTGACGATAAGGAGCACACTCTCCCCCTGATCGACGAAGGCCAAGAGCCGTGCACTCGCCTTTAACTTGCCTGTGGATGTATTGGATCTCGTGGTGCTTCCTCCTGAATCTCCTAGAAGGGAATACCCTGCAAAGCGGTTCTTCCGATGCTTGTGGTCGTTACGATACTTAACGAAGAGGACTGTCAGGTTGCGGACCGGTCCACAGTCCATCACACAGGCGTTTTCATTTACGGGCGACATCATAACTGCATTTCGGCGCTACATTAGAAATGGATGCGATGAACAGCGTTGCACTTCTAGGAAGAGATATCCCTCGTTATAAATCCAGCCTGGCCCTACTCTCCACAGTTCACAGGGAAAGCTCGTGTGAAATTCAAGATCCCAGAGCAAAGGACGGACTCCAAAGAAAGACAAATCGAAGTGTCACACAGGTGAAAACTGTTATACAAGGCTACCAGATTCCTAAACTGCTATAGAAGACAACCATCGCACGTATCTTTTCCTGAAAACGAGGGCTCTCTGTTATCAATTGAGGACAGCAACGGTAAATGCTGCCGATACCGGGCATCCAATCCAGCTCTTCACTAACGTTAGGAGTTGTTCTAATTGAGGTTCCGTCCGAACAGCATGACGTCCGATATGCACAACTCAGTTGACACCCCCCCCCTCCCCCCCCAAAGAGCTGTTCCCCATTGGACCGAATCGGGTTGCTGCCGCCTCTAAATGAAAAGTTTTCATTGAAAACCCCTCCGGCTCGAGAGTGTTAGGTCGGAGAACCAGGGCATCACTCTGCGGAGGTTGGTTTACCGACTGCGCCTGAGAATTCCAAACGGTCTGTGTTGCCACTAGTCTCAGACTAGTAGTGGTATTGTCTAATTCGTAGATTGGCAATTAAACATTCCATGGCGCGCGAATGCGCCAAAGGGTGTCACGGACAAGATTTCGCTGGCGCCACGCACCCAAAGAAAAGTCTCAAGTGTTCTCGCCGTCCGATAGGTGTACAAAGTTTCTATAAGAAACCAAATAAACCTGCACCGCCCGGGAATCGAACCCGGACCATCTGCTTGGAAGGCAGATATCCTAACCATTAGACTAGCGGTGCTTACATACAATCTATCGAGATTCGCACTTTGTTCACACTCCTAGGACCGCATGCCGATACCGATCCATGAATCAAACCTAGGAACCAATTCTTGTCCATTATCCCTCGAACGATGAGGCAGTTTATTGGGCGAGGTTAGAGTGCGGCGCACAAGAACTAGACCGGAGTGGCTCCACGATTTTACCCAACCCTCCTCATCCCAAGTTATCCAGGAGGCCTATGTTGCACCGCGGGGATGTATAGCGATAGATCATTGCTAAGTAGGTGCAACATAGGCCCAACTACAACGGTGATGTCGCAGGCAACTTCGGCGGCTCGGGAAAGATAGCCCATCGCCTACAATTGCAGGCCACAACTTGTAATTCGATTATCAACTCTCGATATCATCGAATGGATGCTGCTTGACAGCAGCTGTGAGCAGGGTTAATAGTCGGACCGGTCGATCGTCCCTCAACACGTTGGCTATTATTTGATGTTGCCCACCGTGTGCTAGCAACCTTACGACAATAGTCAACATCTTTCACCGAACCGACTGTTCAAGGTAGATAACAAATCAGGCATGTTTTCTACGTGGTGGACTAGCAAGAACTGACTCTCAAATCCAGCATATTGAATAAGAGGGCCGTCGATATCTGGGCCCAATAATATTCGTGACTTGAACGTTAACAATCTGGACCCTTATAGGATATGTGCTCGTCCAGAACTATCCTGGCAGGACATCGACGGCGGAGAAATGCGCGATCGCGTAAAACGATACTTCAGTCTCCGTGCTGTTTCTGCGAATCTCCAAGTTGGAAGTCGCATTCATCCTCAAGGAACAGGTTTTTGCGTCGGTGTTGAGAAGATCCACAAACCTTCTCCGTATTTTTCGAGGAAGGGCATCCAGAATAGCGATCCCAAAAGAGTCTTCAACTTGTAGAGTAGTTCTCCAAATGATTGTGGGATCAAATACGTCGCAACGTATAGCCACTTCTCGCACAAGTGGACAGATCCCCTGGACTAGGTCCAGCAGCGAACACTCCAGAACACAGGAAAGCACCTTCGGCTCGACAGTACTGTACTGTCAGTACACCACAGTAGAAGCAGCAGCAAGTGAATGGGTGAGTCCTTTATTCTTCATATCCCCATCATCGTGTACGTCTTGTGCGCCCAACGGCAACACGACTGCTGTGATCAGATGCAGCGCAGAACCCGAAAGCCTACCATTCCGATGCAGCACAATGATCAGGAATCCTGATTCAGGATGAGCATTACGGAGAGATCTTCGGAACACTCTTGAAAATCTTGGTTCAACATATCTTCCGCGTAAAAAGAATTACGACCTGAGACGACACATAAGCCGTCGTAACCTATTCCATAACCTCCTAACAGAAATACACAGGCTGATTACTTATACACACACATCAGAAACCTTTTATGTTATGAATAACGATAGAGGGACTCGACATCTCTGCAGGGAAGAGTCACTCCTATACCACTCCTCCGTCTCCGATACGAACAGATATCCCACTCCTCGGAATTCGCGCTTACTTCACAAACGCAACGATTGAACGATGAAGCTGAGTGAGACACTAACATAAAGTTCATTATGCTAAGACGAATCAAGCTTAACTTAGATGCATACAATCTAAATGAGCGCCCACTCACCGTGGAGCACTCAGGATGTCCTATTCAAAGCTTGTATACACAGCGAGATACGACAAGACTTAAAGGCTTGGGCAAGGATAAGGCTTACCAACACAGTCAGAGTCGGTACTCTGGAAGCAAAGACTTCCATCGTCCTTCTCTAGGATGCCAAAGCACACAGGAGGACTCTGCCAAGACTTGCAGTACGAGCCCCACTTCGAATTCTTGCAACTACTCAGACCGTTGCAGACATCCTCGCAACTGGGAGGAACCACTGGGCAGGAGACGGGCGTGTAGGCAGAATCATCACAGGAAGAATCGGTTGGTTGGAAGCAATAGCCATCACCCTTTTGCAGAAGACCAAAGCACACACCATTGCCCTTACAGTAAGAGCCCCAACCGTAGCTTGCACAAGCGGGAGTCTCATCACACAACTGCTGGCAGTAATCATCAGAGCTTGCAAAAGCTAGACCAAGCAGAGTGGCCACAATCGCGAAAGATTTCATGGGAAAATGAGAACAAAAGGAAAAAATCCAACACTGACAAGAGCGTTCAGATATATTGAGAAACGTGTGAGACTGAACCGGGCAGATATTGTAGCTGGTGAGGAATCGGAGATGAACTTAGCTTAGCGAAGCGAATCATATACAGCCTACAGTACTCACATTATGGGACATTGAATGGAATATGGAACAACCGCGATATTGCTTCACATGGACGTGATATTGGGAGCAACTAGAGAGATAGATCGAACTGTCACCGTAGTGGCGCATCGCTGGACACCTCATCATTTCGTACCTTCTGAAGGTATAGCGACACGATGGTCATGAATCTAGCTAAGGCTACCGCGACCTCGAAGCGAATCCCGAGAAAGCCCATGAATCAAGATACTCTAGGCGAATACAAGAGGTCAGTGGACGAGTGTTGTAGGCGGCAATGAACCCCAGAGCACCCTACATACAGCCCGCCGCTTCGCATCTATTGTATGTACTGGAGAGCCTCGTGGAGATGATGAAAGTGGATGATCATTACGGTGATGACGACGAGAGGAGCCTCACTAGCTATCACGCCCAATGAGGAACAGTACGCAGACAGAAAAGGGTGTAAAACAGTGCCAGTGTCTACTTGGAAGGATGACAACTGTAAGAAATGCAGCTGAACCTTATCAGGAGGCCCCATCGCCCACTGACATAACACAACACAAGCCACAAACTAGACGGTTTTGCCGTTGCTATAGCTACTAGCCTCAGGGCCACCATAACAGAGATCCAACTTGGAGGAAATCAGCAATGACCTCACGTGCAACAGATGGGCGAAGACGATATAAATGATAGTGGTGATGCCCATGGAGGAAGGAAGACTGTGTTATCAATGTACACGCCAACTTGCAGAGTGGTAGGTCAGATATAGGCCCTAGGATAACTAATGTTGGTAATGAACAATACTACATTTAGCAGAGGAGCATCTACAAGGCTCTTCACCGAGACGCACTGCCTGGTTGGGCTGACACCGCAGTCCCCTTCTGGAAAAGTCGGTTGAGCTCCGTTTCCCTGTCGCTTTCCTCATCCGAGCTGCTGTCACTAGAACTGCTCCCCCCACTACTGGAACTACTAGAACTACTGGAGTTAGCCCGACGTCTCCTCTGGGCCTCCTGTAGCTGCGCCAACGCCCTCTGCTGTGCTACTATCTCCCGAGCGCGCTCCTCATTCTCCTTCACCTTCTGATTACGAAGGTTCAACAATCTCGCAACATACCGCTTCAGATTCCTCTGGTCCCTCGGAGTCATCATATCCACATCTAGCTCTTGCAGAATTCCCGTTACAGGATCGAGCACGACTCCAGGACAGTTACGCAGCTTCTTATCCACTACTTGGCAGAGGTCCTCAGGTGTCAGCTGATTCATATCCTCCTCCAATTTAACCTTTTCCTCCGCCGTCAAGGGCAAAGCCGGCCCCCTAGTGCCCCCTACAGACCCTCCCCTCACCGAACTCTCCTTCGTGACCGAGCCGCTTCCGCTGGCCCGAGGGGTCTCACTGAGATTCGACACGAATTGCGTCAACTCCGATATCTTGTCCTGGAGCTGCTCTATCTGGGCCGTCAATTCAGACTCCGTCGCCTTCGATCCACCACCACCAACAGAACTCTTACTCTTCTTACGAGCTTCCTTGCTTCCCTCCTTATCCTTGCCCTTATTAGCCATAGGTTGTTTGCTGCCTTTATGCCCCCCAGCCTTTCCTCCACCGCTCGACTGATGCCTGTGTGCGCTCGACGCTGGAGTCACCTCCTTCACCGGCTCCTCTATCACCGGGTACTGGGCTTCCACATACTCCGCATTCTCAATCCGATACGAGGCATCGAACATCAATTCCGTGCACAGTTTATTCAACCGCTCCGCCGCCTTAAAAGGCTGCGAATCTTTAGGATAATTTCCCAACGCAAATCGTACAAGTCGACGCAGATCTCGTTCCAATTCCAAATGCGTTTTGTACTTCCCCTCCTCCACCATACGCCTCACATGCCCCAAATCAATCGGCAACTGACATGCACTAAAGCTGACCCCCTCGATCTGCCGAGGTAGAACCGGATGGCTGAACCAATAAGCTATACTATCAGCACCGGAAAATCCTTTGTCGGCTTCTATCGTGTTCAAGACCCCCAAGAAAACTGATTGGAAATGGGCGCCATCATCGCCGATTCTCGATACTGCTCCTCTAGGCATCATAATCCGTGCCCCTGGATCCTTGCCACTCATCAAAATGGGACTCCCAGAAGCGACAATCGGCGCCGCTGAGACGTTCACAGGCGCACTGCTCTTTTTCGTAGTCGGAGTTCGCCTCATAGAGGGGCTTTGGCCCACTCTCTGCCCATCTACACTGCTCATCTTCATACTTGAGCTTGCGGAGTCCGACGGAGAACTCGCGCCCTCTCCCTGAATTCCACAAATAGTTCGAGAAACGGGTTCGTCCATATAATAAGACAAGTTACTACGGAACCGGTGATCGCTTTAATTTTGGGCAAGCGAAGAAAGATGAAATGCAATGAAAGTTGGCCATTTCAGAGCAGCCCGAGTTGATTCTACAATTTCGAATGTCAAAACGATCAACCCCCCCCCCCCCCTCCACCACCACCATATACTACCCTTTTCCTTTTCCCCAAAGTGCCCATCCTCATAGTAGGCGACTTCTCGCTGGCTCCGTCGACGGTACTGCTGGAGCGAGCTGCCACGGTAGACTCTCTAGTTCTTCGCCGAGCCGAAACCGCAGCCGCGAACGACAGTTCCGCTCGAGGGGAAGCTGGGGGAGTCTTCACTTCCTCAATCGCGAATCCAGAACCCTCCAAAGCCTCGCGGACCGATCCAAGCTCGGGTATGGAGAGGAAGAGTTCTCCTCGAAATGTATGACCGACAGGCTCTCGGTTAACAGAAGGATCTAGCGAGACCGCCGCCCTAGTCACACTAGAGACCACAGGCTCTGGCTCAGCTGCCTTCTCAGGCTTCACCGATGCCGCGCCTTCCCCCACAGCTGGAAACGCAGGTTTTAAGTCTACTTCCGGAACGCCTGTCTCGGCCACAGGACTTGTCGCCTCCGGTGTAGTGATATTGCTCATGCAGTTTTAGGATAAACCCTCTGAATGACCGCTTCAACCAGTTGGCGCTCGTACTAACCCGGTCCCATGAACGCAACAGTAAACGTTGAGACACCATCTGTCATGTCACAATGAGCATTCCAGAAATAATCGATCGCCCTATACTATCACCTAATTAATGAGTCTTCGTATATTTTTCGGACTGCTTAGCACCCTGGCCTTTGTCCGGCCCCTCATCCTCATCGGTATACCCCACTAACTGCTCGATAGTGCCCAACAAACCATTCTAGTGGTGGTTCATGCTTCTGAACGGCCGACGGAGAGCTCTCGTAAACGATACATTGATAACTTCATCCAATAAGAAGAGGCATACCTATTCCAATGAAGATCCTTGAAAAACTCCCCGAGTCGGTGAGCGCCATCAGACACAGCACCTAGCTCAGCATTAAGGGATGAACCTAGCCCATCTTATCGTGGATGAGCCCGACCTGGGAGCCAAGCAGTGGGACTCGATGGCCTCTAATACGGCCCATTTCCTTGCAAACAACGTCAAAGCATACAAAGTGATTGTACATCACTATTGTATCATCACAATACTCATCGTAGCTATGATGCTACGATAAAAACTTGATTGAGCTCGGTTCACAGGCGGTGCATGAGCTTGCTATAACCCCCACCTGTTCCATCTGTTCGCGACCTGCCAATCACTATGCAGCAGAGTAGACCTGAAACGCCGCTATTACCGAGATCCTTCTCATGGGCAGGCACGATCTTCTCGTCACCCTCCGTGTTCCCTCTTATACTCCTATAAACCATCAAAAATACACCAGCCTGAGTCACCACGCGGACCGCAGAGGTGATTCGACCAATTATAGTCATCACTAAGCGGGAGGTCCTTGAAGTAGAGCAAGACGCCTAGGGAGAGCCAAGTATTGAGGGGCATCGGCCGCGACTCGTTATTCCGCTTAGACTGGGCTATAGTAGGCGTAAGGAGGCCCTGCATCAGCATGGAACTAGAGCTGAGGTGATTATACCAGTCGCACATATTGTAATTCATCGCGCAAGGTCTCCTCGTAACCAGCGAATTCCCCTTTTCAATGGATACCAGGGAGAGGCATTCCCTAGGTAAGCAAACACACAAGTAGTAGTACCGCATATCACTGACCCATGTATCTGACCTACTGAGAACACCGTCCCCATGCAAGAAAAATAGACTACAGGCGTAGTGCCGCAGAAGTCGTGTGAGGGAAGCGATTGGCCAGGCGAGGCGAGCGAGAAATTCTTTAGCGGGGCGAAGCACTTCATTTCTTTTTCTTAGCGGAGCGAAGATTTGACCTTATTAGAATCTGAGTTTGGATTGGCCAGTTCACCAGTCGCTGAGGAGTCTTGTTATGCTGCACGGCACTTGATTAACTTCACAGCAAGAACCCAGGAGGGTGACGACCAACACGATAGTGAGTATGAATCAAGGAAGGGCGTGAAATAGTCTGATCCTGTTATCGGGGCAATCTGAGGAGAACCATGCATGGTGAATGCTCTGGCCTATTATAGAGTAGTATAGGCCGCCTATACTACTCTTACTCTGATGAAAGTAGATATTGGCAAGAGCCCTATCGAGTGGATCCATCCTCCTTCTTATCAGTACAGTGTTCACGGCCAATTTGTCTCTGTGTTGTTAATAGTGTTCTGTCGAAGACCCCATGGTAGTTGCATTATATGTCCACTCCTTTCTTGCCGACTTTATGATGCTACTCCTAAGAGGAAGAGGTACTAGTGAGCCGCTCTACAGTTCGGTTGGTAGTGTTGCTCTATTGAGTTATCTCTAGTGACGATAGTTTGTACAGTACTTGTAGACCTAGGCTATCGAAAGGAGTATTTCCGATGGGGAGGGGGCGGCTTGCTCCCCCCGATGTAGAGCTGTATAGGGTATCATCCAGGAACTTTCTAAACTTCCTGGAGGAATTCTCTTTGAAATTTTCACATGCCTAAGAACACATTTTTCAATCAGTCGTCACATTAGGAACTTTCCCCACTGTCCCCCGCGTTTAATAGAGGGATCAGCTCGCTGGTGATCGTCGTTTATTAAGTACCGCGTTCTCGATTACTTAGAACTAAACTGTTGATTGAAAAACTTGAGCTACTTGATTTGGAAGATGTTGTATATCTCTCCAATAGACCGGCCTTCTATTCGGAGTCGTTGGCAATTTATCGACTGACAACAGCATCATTCCTCGGCATTCCATCACAGGTGCATGGGCACGGTTGATTCTCTCTGCGTTCATCCTCGGACTACAATGCACACTAAGGAGCTATGGTCAGCGAGTTGAGCCAGCGCCGAGCGGTCCTTATAGGTAATCTCGCCACAATGGACCCTGAACTTCCTCGTGTTACTACTGGACATGTGAAAAGCGTGGTTTTCTGTTAAAACGGTTTCCAGATACCTGAAGTACGTGCAGATGGTCGAGCGGATCAACGACGTGGCTGAGCGCTATCCCGATATTGTGGAAGTTTTTGATGCCTTGGAGGTTTGGCCGGGAATAGCAGACTTTTCGAAAGAAGATCTGCTCTGTGGGAAGGAACGGTAGTTTGACGACTTGAACCACAGAAGAGATCAACTAAGTGAAGTCTCTCGTATCAGGTGCAAGTTTTTGGTCATGCGATTGGGTAATAGGGCGGTCCAGAGCGACACCACTCCGGAGGTGAAATGTTCATCATCGATTCTCGTGAGATTGTTCTGTGAAGGTTTTCTTCTCTGGAGAGCTCCACGGTAATGAACGTGTCGGACCGAATACGCTTATTGCGATGGTGTCGGAGTTGGCCAGAAGATACTACTCGGGAGAGCCTGAGGCCGAGAGTACCAAGGAGGTCCGATGGTAGTAGTGACAATTCTTCGGTGAATAGTCGCCAACTATGATAGATCTAATCCATATCGTATCTAGTATAGCTCTATTGATATGAATATAGATTTCATTCTTACCATACATGATGTCGTTCATTTATGTGCTAAAGTGAGCTACTCCATTCTCTGCAGGTTGATCGATAGTCGGAGGACATATATTATACCCATGGCCAACGCGTATGGGTACTACCATAGTGTTCGTTATGAGAAGATACGTCAGCGCGATGCCAACCGGGACTTTCCCTATCAACAGAGGAGTTGCATGGCGACTATCACGGCGAGAGTCATCAATGAGCTTTTTCGGAGGTAACTTTGGAGATCTTTTGAAGTGGAGTATTCACGTCCTTAGGCATCTATTCCAGTTGTCTGTTACTTTCCACGGTGGAGTGAAGATGCTCTCTTATGCATGGGGTAGCAACAACCATATCAAGGCGGGGAAGAGTACTAATGCTCCGGACCTAGCAGCTATAGTGGACGTGGCAACTCTAATGCGGGTAGGCCGCCGAGCATAGCCCTCAGCCTTGAAGTGTCTGTGTTTGTAGGACTCTGCTGGTCGTACCGCTGCGGGGGATTTCTGGTACCCCATGGGTACTATGACCGACACAGTGTACGCCGTGAATGGAGGCATGGAGGTAGTTACAAGGAAGGGGTTTCCTCCTCAGACAGATGTCGAATAATGAGCGTTTGGGTTGGCCGAGAATAGTTACTCGAAGGCTATTAGATGATATGCCTGATAGTCTCGGTGTAGGACTGGTCGTACGGTGCTGGCTTCGAGGAGGACCCCGACCCGATCAATCAGTGTGAGCCGCCCACATACGGTGGATATCCCCGAGATCGGACGGACTACTCTGAGTTCAAGAACATCAGGTTAGAACACAGCAGCTTGTATGCTTTACATCAGCCTAGTAGGTCCGTCACCTACCTGGTGGAGATGTCCTCTGACCACACCCCTAGCGCCGATACGTTGGGTAACAAGGAGGAGATGTGGATCGAGAAGACTGAGAATGGTAGTAGCGAATGACGATTATGGTGACCTTCTTTTCAGGTAATCATATTAATCGGAATGCCCATTTGTCCATGAGTGTTATGGAGATGGTAGCGCCTAGTATTATGTGGCGCATTGGTGATAGCGATGGGATGGTCCAAGATGGAAAGCTGAGGAACGTTTCCTGGTAGAGAGATCGTCTGTGTCGTTAGTGAATTTTCTGACATATCGTGTGTTTATCCACCAGGTATGCCCTCGGCTGCAATACCGTGGATGCGTTGGAGGTGTGGTTGCTGCCTGGAGAATGCTCGGCTGAGGCAGAGGTCATGATGGGTCTCGGGGCAATGCGGCAGTGGCCACCACCGGGCGCTTATCGTTTGGGAGGCACCCAGTTTTCAAACGTAATATTCAGTCGATTGATTTGGTCGTAGCTCCAGATCGCAGGTAACATGCAGACACTTGTCCTTATGGAACGGGGAGGAGCTGAGTGATGCTAACGTGAAGTCTTTGGATGGCATAGAGCTGCCCGAGGTAGCATGGGAGTATCTGTTCTAATGTGATTGTCGCCTTTCAGTCGCTCCCAGGAGGAGATTATTGTCTCACCGCGGTAGCAGAGTTTGACAAGAGTTGGAATAAGACAGATTCCCCGGACCCCAACGTGCCGCCATGGAGCCACTTGGTCAACAGTCGTGTCCAAGATCATTACTCATGGCACTGTGAAGGGCCTTCGAGGTAATGCCCGGGGCTGCTCTGACTGGGAGTATGATCATTTACGGTAGGATCCAATCGAGCCGGCGTAGGATGTACGTGGCGACGCCCTCTAGTGCGAGTATCACGGTGAAGCGAGCTCCTAGGCCTACCGCTTACGCAGCGTCTGAGTCGCCGAGTGAGGTTCCTCCTTCCCCCACGAAGGCAGTATGGCAGACGGTGCGTATTACTATGGAGTTCCTGAGGATGCCCTCTAGGGTACCAATGATAGTCGAGATCGACCCGACTGGGAAGAGAGGCTCCTTGAAGGCGAAGCTTGTGGGTAATCAACGCTTGGCTCGTGGCACGTACATGCTAGCCGTTCATGAGTTCGGTGACCGAACCAACAGGGGGAAGAAGACTGAGGTACTCACGGTGGAGGTAGAGAGGCAAGATCAAAGCATCGATGAGGAGTTCACCTTCGATACTATCAGCGGAGCAGATCTCTCGGGTCATGGGATCGTCTTGGAATGGTACCCGAGGAAGCTACGGACTGGAGGGGGCGAGGTGGGGGATGGTGGAAAGGACTACGCTTGGGCGGTGATACCCACCATTGCTGGTGGAGTAGATCCGGACTCGGAGCTCGACTTGATCTGTGAGTGGTCCGGTGGCCAGGGGTATGTGGAAGTGGTCTCCAAAGATGTCGAGGGCGTCTTGTGTGGTGTTAACAGAACCCGAGCGCCGGTCGAAATCCGAGCCGATTGCTGCTCTGAACTTCTCACAGCAGGGGAGCCCTTTGGGGTGACGATGGACGAGTCGGAGAAATTGGCAGTAAACTTCAGATTCGGCGAGGCTGGTCGGAGTGCGTGTAGAGCATGCAGTGCCGGTGATAAGCTCATATTGCGCATGGCTCATAAGGACCACAAGGACTGTGTACTGGGACGCTTCTCCGCCGAAGACAGCGAGCTAGCTGGAGAGGTCGATTGTAGCGTCTTGAAATCTCATATCGGCAGTTCCTTAGCTGTGACGGGTATAGCATCCAACTTCGCTGCATTGCTGATGGTGATTGGTGGCTTATCTATCATATGCTGGCCCGTGGCATGGTGTGTGAGTAGATATAAGCGGTTACGGAGGAGGGAGGAAGGCTGGCGAAAACTCGGTGGTAACCGGGAAATGGTGTCTTTGAGGGGAGCGGACGACGAAGGTTCTTTGGTCGAGAGCCCGGTGGAGTCTTCTCATGGTGGAATACCGACTGACGGTGGAGATTCTGGGGTGCCACGTCGAGTATTTGAGCGAGGTCCTATGGAATGAGTTGAACCATTTGATACTATTCGTGTATTTCCATTCCTGTCACCTTTTCTGAATCACGAAGATGGCGGTGTTGGAAACGCGTACGCCTGGGATGGGGGACATGCGCTGGAAAACTGAGAGCAGGATTAGGAGTAAGCATGTCGAGAAGTGGGATTGGAAGCGTCATGTGTTGAGTATCAACGGAGGCAGGATCAGTCGCTATTGGGACGAATGTTAGCAGAATGATTTTCAAAGACACGGAGCCCACATTCATTATGTGGATCATGTTCTGACTCGGATTTTCTCGTTTCAAAGCAAGTTGGATGGATATCGAGTAGCCTCGAGATTTCTCTCCTGGACTCTCCCAAGACTAAGGCATCCTCAACGAAGTGGAAAAACTCGCTATATCCTACGTGTTCAACGAACTTCACTTTAAAACTTAGAGGATTAGACTGGCGCAACATAGGTCTCCAGTTGAACCGTGCATCTCTGCGACAACATGAATATCATTATTTACGACAGCGGCAGGATTCGAACCTGCGCGGGCAGAGCCCAGTGGATTTCTAGTCCACCTCCTTCCTTAACCACTCGGACACGCTGTCTTGTATGTGATATAATTCCTTCGCAATTTTTTACTATCGGGAATCCCGATTCGGGATGCATCACGATATTGATCGGATATTCCCAAACAAACCTTATCATCACACACTTATAGTCCGGGTCAGACTGCTTGTTAGTCACAAGATTCAAATCTACGCGACCAAAGACAATAGATCGCTTAGCAACTATTCCTGATCCAATTCTGCATTCACTCCGACCTGCTATTCCTGATCCAATTCTGCATTCACTCCGACCCGCTACCCCGTTAAAATGATACGTTCTACAGAAGCGAATCCAAAGTTCATTATATTTGTAGTCCATGTACAGGCAGACTCAATAATGAAATGGTTGACAGAAAGAAGTTAATAGAATCTGATTCAATGGAAGCCCTCCCGCATAAAGCAGCTTAGTCACGAAACATGAAAGAATAATGCTTCCAGTAGCAACAATCTTCCCAAGAGTAAACCTGCCCCCCGCTCCAACCCTCCCACCATCAAGTGATTGACAACACAAATGATGGCCATTCACTGACGACACGATTTGAAAAAAATGTCGGGCTACATCCTACGAATTTTGGACAAAAAAACTTGCACCGACTCGACACATTAACTTGCAGGACAAACAGATGGCCTGCTATACCCATTATCGTAACCTGAATGAAGAGTTAGGAACTATTTATCTAGTGAGAGAAAGTCATCTTCTGTTCGCTAGCATTGCCCATCTTGAAGAAGTCGTTACCCTTATCATCAACAATGATGAAAGCGGGGAAGTCGACGACATCGATCTTCCACACGGCCTCCATGCCGAGCTCCTCCATATCGAGACACTCAACCTTCTTGATGCTCTTCTCAGCGAGAATAGCAGCGGCACCACCGATGGAGCCGAGATAGAAACCACCGTGCTTCTTGCAGGCATCAGTCACCATATCGCTACGGTTACCCTTACCGATCATGATCATGGAGCCACCGTTGGCCTGGAAGGGCTCAACGTAAGGGTCCATGCGGTTGGAGGTGGTGGGTCCGAAGGAACCGGAAGGCTTTCCATCAGGCTTCTTGGCAGGGCCAGCGTAGTACACGGGGTACTTCTTGATGTAGTCGGGAAGCCCCTCGCCGCTCTGAAGCATGTCCATCATTCTAGCGTGGGCGATATCACGAGCAACGATGATGGTACCGGTGAGGGCAACACGAGTCTTAACAGGATACTTGCTCAAGGTGGCGAGAGCCTCCTTCTGGGGCAAGTTCAAATCGATCTTAACAGCCTCCTCATCGTCACTAACAAAGTCAGGCATGTACTTGGCGGGATTCTTCTCGAGCTTCTCAACGAAAACACCCTCGGGGGTTATCTTCGCAAGACTCTGACGATCAGCCGAGCAACTCACACCAAGGCCGACAGGACAAGAAGCACCGTGGCGAGGGAGACGGACAACGCGTACATCGTGCGCGAAGTACTTGCCGCCGAACTGAGCACCGATACCGAGTTCCTGGCAGTTCTTGAGAAGTCTCTCCTCCCAGTAAAGATCCCGGAAAGCACGACCGGTAGAATCACCAGTGGTGGGAAGACCATCGTAATACTTGGTGGACGCCAACTTGACAGTCTTCATAGTCTGGTCGGCAGACTGACCGCCGATAACAACGGCGATGTGATAGGGAGGGCAAGCAGAAGTGCCGAAGTGAGCGATCTCCTTCATAAGGAAGCTCTCAAACTCCTTCTCCTTAAGGAAGGCCTTGGTCTTCTGGAAGAGTTGGAATTTATTGGCAGATCCACCACCCTTGGCAATGACATGGAACTTGTAAGCGAGCTCATCACCAGGATGACCGGCGTAGAGTTCGATCTGAGCGGGCAAGTTGCAGCCAGTGTTCTTCTCCTCGAACATGCTCAAGGGAGCGACCTGGGAGTAACGGAGATTATCTTGGGTGTAAGCATCATAAACACCCTTGGTAATAGCCTCCTCATCAATACCGCCAGTAAGAACGCGCTCGCCTCTATAACCGTAGACACAGGCGGTACCAGTATCCTGGCATGAGGGTAGAACGAGACCAGCAGAGATGCAGGCATTCTTCAACAACTCGAGGGCAACGAAACGATCATTGGCAGAAGCTTCCGGGTCCTTGAGGATTTTCTCGACTTGCGCAAGGTGAGCACTTCTAAAATAATGCTCAACATTTCTGATGCAGGTCTGAGTGAGCTTAGCGATGGCCTCGGGCTCAACCTGAACGAGAGGAATCAACGATAGTCTCCTTTGAAGTCTACAAGAGATCTAATCAGATCCCTTACCTTGAGGAAGTCCATCCCATCGGGACCCTTCACGACTGACACTCCTTCCTTGGTGAGTAGTTCATACTCCACAGGCTGAAAGAGAATGGATATGAAGTAACCAAGAACAATAGGATACGTGAGAGGAACACCTACCTTCTCGTTGGCGTGTTCCTGGAACAAGGGACTATACTTGTCGAAGGTGAATGAAGAAGTTGAACGCACTTGAGGACTCATTGTTGTAAGGGGTTCGCAAGAAAGAACTGATGATAGGAATCCCTCAGTGGTGAAGAATAAACTAACAAACCTTACGAACAAAAGAAACCACAAGTTTCGTCGTTGCATACTGATGCGGAACTCAAGGGACTAGCTCATAGCTTCGCTAGATTCCGCTGAGGACTATTTCGCACAGGGTGGAGCTGACAGCTAAGAAGCTCCCATAGTCTTGATTTTCGACATCGGACAAGCTGAGGTCTAGTCATTCATTGTGAGGCACTCCTCCAGATTCCTTCTGAGAAATACTCCAACGAAGAAGCATACGAAAAAGGGTGTTGCAGCGGTCTTTATCTCAGTAATCATCAGAATGTGCAGTTCCCACTAGCTTCAACAAATAACATCGCGACAGTCGAATCACGATTCATTTTCCAGCGTATTCGTCGTCTAGTCAATAGCTCTATAGATGCCCCTCCTCTACACTTGTGGATAATCCAACATTGCAATTCTGAAAGGAGATACTCTGCCGTATCAACATTATGAACAGAAAGCGTCTTACCGACGGCTGCGAATGAATGTAACTATAAAGATAACACATCAATCTTCGCTATGATATTGCGAGTATAAATGCTATACGGTCACAACAGACTGATACAATTACTTGCATATGAACGACCTACTGAGAGAAAGTCATCTTCTGTTCGCTAGCATTGCCCATCTTGAAGAAGTCGTTACCCTTATCATCAACAATAATGAAAGCGGGGAAGTCGACGACATCGATCTTCCACACGGCCTCCATGCCGAGCTCCTCCATATCGAGGCACTCGACCTTCTTGATGCTCTTGTCAGCGAGAATAGCAGCGACACCACCGATGGAGCCGAGATAGAAACCACCGTGCTTCTTGCAGGCATCAGTCACCATATCGCTACGGTTACCCTTACCGATCATGATCATGGAGCCGCCGTTGGCCTGGAAGGGCTCAACGTAAGGGTCCATACGGTTAGAGGTGGTGGGTCCGAAGGAACCGGAAGGCTTTCCATCAGGCTTCTTGGCAGGGCCAGCGTAGTACACAGGGTACTTCTTGATGTAGTCGGGAAGACCCTTGCCGCTCTGAAGCATGTCCATCATTCTAGCGTGGGCGATATCACGAGCAACGATGATGGTACCGGTGAGGGCAACACGGGTCTTAACAGGATACTTGCTCAAGGTGGCGAGAGCCTCCTTCTGGGGCAAGTTCAAATCGATCTTAACAGCCTCATCATTATCACCAACAAAATCTGGCATGTACTTGGCGGGATTCTTCTCGAGCTTCTCGATGAAGACACCCTCGGGGGTTATCTTAGCGAGGCACTGACGATCAGCAGAGCAACTAACACCCAGGCCGACAGGGCAAGAGGCACCGTGACGAGGGAGACGGACAACGCGTACATCGTGCGCGAAGTACTTGCCGCCGAACTGAGCACCGATACCGAGTTCCTGGCAGTTCTTGAGAAGTCTCTCCTCCCAGTAAAGATCCCGGAAGGCACGACCGGTAGAATCACCAATGGTGGGGAGACCATCGTAATACTTAGTGGATGCCAACTTGACAGTCTTCATAGTCTGGTCGGCAGACTGACCGCCGATAACAACGGCGATGTGATAGGGAGGGCAAGCAGAAGTGCCGAAGTGAGCAATCTCCTTCATAAGGAAGCTCTCAAACTCCTTCTCCTTAAGGAAGGCCTTGGTCTTCTGGAAGAGTTGGAATTTATTGGCAGATCCACCACCCTTGGCAATGACATGGAACTTGTAAGCGAGCTCATCACCAGGATGACCGGCGTAGAGTTCGATCTGAGCGGGCAAGTTGCAGCCAGTGTTCTTCTCCTCGAACATGCTCAAGGGAGCGACCTGGGAGTAACGGAGATTATCTTGGGTGTAAGCATCATAAACACCCTTGGTAATAGCCTCCTCATCAATACCGCCAGTAAGAACGCGCTCGCCTCTATAACCGTAGACACAGGCGGTACCAGTATCCTGGCATGAGGGTAGAACGAGACCAGCAGAGATGCAGGCATTCTTCAACAACTCGAGGGCAACGAAACGATCATTGGCAGAAGCCTCCGGGTCCTCGAGGATCTTCTGGACCTGTGCGAGGTGAGCACTCCTGAAATAGTGCTCAATATCCTTGATGCAGGTCTGCGTGAGGTTAGCGATAGCCTCAGGATCGACCTGAAAAGTTGAATAATGTGACCCAGACTCACTCAAGAGCGCCGATGACATTCACATCATCTGATCCGAAGTGATCGGACATTCGCGTACCTTGAGAAAGTCAAGTCCATCGGGTCCCTTAGCCACAGAGACACCTTCCTTCGAAAGGAGCTCATATTCGGGCTCCTGAAACCAGAACAGCAATCACACAACACCGCAAAGGTTATGAATCTATATCGGAGAGAGTTATTCTAATGTCCACAACGACTAGAGTCCCAACGGGTAAGGCTTCCCGAAGTTCTACCTCGCCGTTGGCGTTTGTCTGGAAGAGGGGGGCGTACTTCTCGAAAAATGCCGACCCGGAACTCATTAAGAACAGATTCGAGATAACTGTAGCATCATTATGAACGTCTTTCCAATGCATGTTGCTCAGGTCGCACACTCCCTGTGGGAATCTCAACTCAACAGAGACGAGCTGCAAATCGGATAGCGTCGCTAAATCTTGCAATCTTAAGGTTACTCAGTGGTCGTCATCTAAGAGCATAATTTCTGGTGAGCGGAAGGACAACAGTCCTGTAGTGTGAGTGAAATGTCGCGCAAGGAGGGGTGCACCCTTGAAAGACATATGACACAAGTGAAGTGCGCGCGCCCGTAAACGGTTTTTGAGTGTTGCAAGGCGGAAACCGAAGGTGAAACAAACCTTGAGTTGGACCATACAGGTCTACAACGTGGATTGAGTACGGCTGTGAGGCCGAGCTCAACCACGAGAGTCGAGGGGTCCCTCGACGGGCCAGAATAATTTTTTTTATTCCCTTGAATATGGCGATGCCTTCATACTGATCCCACCAACATTTGGAGAACCGGACAGGTATGTCCGGCTTCCATCTTAGGTGGGCCCTTCGCGCAGCTACGTGGGGGTCACGAGATCAATTGAAGGCATTGGTAGCACCTGATGTGGTCGGACCGTGTGTGGCCCAAAAAGTTTGGGTCATTACGGTTGAAAATACCGACGGGCCGACCAATCACGGTGCTACCTCCCGCAACCCCGTATTCGATGGGATTTCACAGGATAGGCCCTATAACTCAGGAAGGCTTTCTTAAGGAAGGAGCTCAAGGTAAGGTACCTACTCTCAAGGTACACCTAAAGGAGCTCCTAGTCTAGGAGGCCTAACATCTAGGAGTCCTAGATTATAGGCCCGTAACAGCAGAGAATAGTTCCTACAACTAGCGTTGTGCAGAACGAACCCCCACGTGAGGGCGTGCTAGAACCCGTGACCTCGCGGTAGCATGTGTGTGTGTCCTACACTCACGCAGCTCGTGTTATGCGCGTGTCTCACGCGACCACGCAGCGCGCTATGCCCCAGCACGTTGCTGATCAGCATACGGTGCTGATAGCACCGTATGCTGATCAGCACCGTTAGATCGTGACCAGCGACGCTAGAGTCTAGCCACCCACTGGAGATCACAGTCTAGTGGCTAGACTGTGATCTCCAGTGGGTTTTCCGACTGTCGACCGATCTGACATAGTTTTTAGGCCAGAGAATCTGCAAACGAGTTGGATACGACTATTAAACTGGGAAGGAATCATTGTAGTAGCTGAAAGCAACATCAAATCATATTGGAGAATGTCGGATTACGTAAGAGTGGACGGTTAAATTAGAAATGTTGGATGGGGAACTACCTGCTCAGCGAGCTCCGGCGGATCAGCGGTGAGCGCAATAAGACGCAAAACTGGTCGGAATTCGGGAAACACTCGGCTGATCACATCATGTAGTTGGAATGAAAAGTTGTACCCAAATTCGAGCATCGTATTGATCAGCGATTAGCTCCTACCATATCGTTCTCCATCATCTTCAAGATGACATCCTCTATCATAGCTCTCATCATATCACTCCTCGTCGCTCGTATTGTTGTTGCTAGGGTTGTTGGAGTGATGTGTGTGTGTTACATCTTGGAGTGATGGCATAACCGCCCCGCCTGGAAAAATTGATCATACAAAGGTATATCTTGGAACGATGGCATAACCGCCCCGCCTGGAAAAGTTGATCATACAAAGGTATATCTTGGAACGATGGCATAACGGCCCCGCCTGGAGAAATTGACTGTTCTAAGGCACATTTCGGAGTGATGGCATAAACGCCCCGCCTAGAAAGATTGATTGTACTAAAGCACTTCTTGGAGTAATGGCATAACCGCCCCGCGCGGAGGATTTAATTGATTGTACTAGCGTATATCTCGGGGCGGTGGCATAGCTGCCCCATAGCAATCTTGTTGGGAGAGGACAGTGCTGTGAAATCGTTGGAAAATCCTGAGATGGTATCAAAAATGGTGACGCGGATCGACCACGAGAAAATGACTGTGAGAGATTGAGACCGACTACTACACTTTCTCAATCCCAAACGCAGCGCAGCGACAAATTAGGAAGATAAAATTTGATTTACGTAGGATGGAAGGAGTTTGTCGCGGAATGCAAGTTGAAACTCGAAATGAAAGACCGCCCGCGAATAAATGTTCAAGCTTGCAGAGGAATTTACTAAATTCAATTTACGAGTTCGGAGACCCAAGTTCGAATTCAACGAACACAAGACCAATTCCTACCAACCAAGTACTCTTTCTACCGAACTTGCCTTCTCCAACGACATTGCAGTAACTGATACTGCACAAGAGTTGTGCCACAAGTGAGATTGCAAGGCATGGGGAGGACATTCAGCAACCGGTAACCTCCCCATCTAGACATTCACAGACAGACTGGGTTCATTGAGCCATCGGTCATCAAGCTGCGGCATATTATGGTTCGGGTGATGTAGGAACAGTCTGCATCGTTCAACGATAACACTGCGACGCCGAGCGAGTCGTCGTCGCGGCCCACAGTGCATACCCTCCCAGTTGAAGGGCGAGACATACTGGCCGGCAGGCTACAAAGGGATGAGACCCTGGGATGTGGTTCTTCCTAGACCCAGATAGTAGACATTAGCCTTGTAACACAGTACCGTTGAGTGTCCATTGTTGCTGTGCCATGGCGATTATCCGTTACTCTAACGAGATATCTTGTTCCGTTGATTAGTAGTGACGAGGACCGATTGATATACGTCCGGTTTGACCCGACGGAGACCTAGGCGGCCCAGGCCCTAGGGGGTCATCTCCAAATGATCCTCGAAACGAAGGGAGCTGTTGGGGGAAGTGGAATGGCGCTTCTTCCGAGCTCTCATTTGTAGCAACACAGAGCCTGTGTTGCTACAGGGTCTTGAAGGTTCACAATAGCATGTCATCTACTAATACCGATCGGAGAATATCTCTCTCGGAACGGTTGAAACAGATCAGGCAGCAGAGGCGGGCGCTGGAGGAACTAACGAGCAAAGATCACAGCGAACATGAGCCGGGTAAAGGCGGAAGTTCCTCCTAATGAAGGAACTCCCTTGATCTTTCAGAAACCTCCGTATCGTGCCAGTCCTCAACAAAGAGGGATGATTCGGCCAGAGCGAGCAGGTAGGAGCCTAGGTGACAGTTGACCTGACTGCTCGGAGCGATGGTTCATAGAGCATTTCAATCTCGTCTCTATCAGATTGAGCAATGGATGGGCGCGGTCAGAGCGGGGAGCGGTATCAGATACACTATCTCTCGGTAATTTACGTCTTTTAAAGACACGTTTATCTCTCAAAGTCCTCATCGAACCCGTTCTTAGGAATCAGCGCTGAGGAGTCTGCCGTGTCAAGTGCTCAGATTGCCGCCACCCCACCGTGAGGAGCATCTTTGTTACCAGTATGCCACTCGTTGCTCTAGAACTATCACCTACACTGTGTCTGCACCTAGCAAGGCTCTCATAACAGATCAATTACCCGTCGACATGATATTGCACTCACAATCGTCGAATCAGTCCAAGGAGGCGAGAGGTACCGATGGTCTTCTGCCTCGGGAGGCATGCTGATGCCTCAGTGTCTGGTGATCTGCAGTCTCATCGCTGTGGACGGAGTGCTCAGTATACTGAAGGAGACGATGATCAGGACTGTCAGGGCCCACCTGGGCAGTTATCACCCACAGCTGATGGAGTATCCCGGCGGCGAAGTTTGAGGGAGAGCCGGTATAACTTTGAACATGAATGCGACAATCAAAGCTCTACTGTGACTACTACAGCTGAGCAATATCCCCACCGTGTGTCCGAGGAGAGGTCGCCGGAACAGTTGCAAGAGACACCTATGAGCTATCTTGACGGTGCACAAGATGACCGTGGTGATTACCTGAACTCCTCTAGCAGTGGTCGGAGATCATTCTCCCCTGGTAAAACGGTGGTAGAGGCTCTCTGCCACCGTTCTCTACTAGAGAATGGCGCCGGTGATAGTGACGAGTCGAGCATTGAGTATCACGCTAAAGATGGGGAACAATCCACCACAGGCCCCATGTACTCTGATGAGCGGATAACCGAGGGAGGAGAGTATAGTGAGAGCTATGAGGTGAATTGCGTATATAGGGACGACGACGACAAGGATGGGCCTCCGGTCGAAGGTCAAGGCAGGGAAAATAGTGGAACCCTGGATGAGAGTGGTAGAGGAAAGCAGTCCGAGTATGAGGTGAAGTACGAGCCCTATCCCCACGATGTCGGATATGGAGATGAACGGCCGCAGAATTGGGCCGGCCGTCGGGATGCCGCAACCGAGCTGAAATAAACCCCAACGGCTTCGAAAATATCATTAGTCCTACGTTATTGCGCCGAGAAGAAGATCATTCTACCTTCAAGCGAAGAGCAAATCCGGACCTTCGCAGCGTCCGGGACACATACGATGCTTGCAAGGGGAAGAAATTGGATAGTGAGCAGGGTGGGTCCATCAATGGGCTCAACAGGGAGAGTGAGGCCGAAGGAATAGCATCCTCCTTGGGATACTACAATAGGACGGTCTCTGATGAGTTGTATGATAGGATCGGCTATCAACAGACGTACTTACCAATCGAAGACCATGAGCGTAGCGAGCAGACCCATTACGCGCGATCGGAGGGAGAAGACGAAGAACAGAGTCAAGGATCGGTTGAGCAGTATGATGCTGTCGATACGGGTCACGGCGATACGGTTAGAGAGATGGGAAGTGAGCATCGCTCAGCGTACAGCTATTGTGAGGCTCACAACGAAGTCGCCACGGACATGCAAGAGAAAGAAAATTGTGATGATGGTGCGGCAAGTTCGGCCAACAAGGAGCAGAGCTCTCAGGAGGATGGGGTCATCGTCCTTTCGCGGGGACATGATGGGAATACCAACTCGGCCGTTGGGACGCATGTCGATTGTTGGGGTGCCGCAGACCACAGGAGTGGGCATTCAGAAGAGGTCAGCAATATTGGGGAATCGAAGCCGAATGGACCTCGTCAGTACGACAAGCCCCATGTGCAGGAGGAGCGGGCAGCTCGAGAGAGGAAGCAAGCAGTCGACGAGAAACACGGAGAAGAGGTCGTGACTCAATCGATTACTGGCTGGCATCTCAGGGGTGAGTTCTGGTGTTCCGAGCGCGGGCCAGGTCCTTTCAGAGTCATTCGATCCAAGGAGCGATCCCTTTGCTCTCCCTGGAGTAGAGCTACTGGAGTTGTCAACTCGTGACGCATCAGCTGAGGTAACTTCGACTGACTTCAAGTGAGCTGCTCGTAGTCTTGAAGGTTGCCTAGGACACTCCTTCCTGTCAGCCCCTGTGAACTTCGTACAGAAGTCATTCGTGAGCCATGCGGGTTGTCCGAAATACGAGACTTTATCGCAGCGCAGATGTGGCAGGAGAGGACGGAGGTGAAGTTGCGGATGGAGGAGAGCCGAAGGCTTCGTGCAGTAGTTGTTGAGGAGCTGAGGAGACGCCCAGACGAAGCAAATAGGAGCGAGATTGAAGTGGAACGGTTTGATCCTGATGCTGCTACTAGCTTGCTCGATGCCACGACGGAGGAAAACGAGTCGGCTGAAGAGGAAACGGCTGATGATTATGTGGCGTATCGGACGAGAGGAGGAGTGCTAGTCGAGCTGGACCCTGATATCAATAGATTTGGGGATCCTGAATCAAAGTCTATACTAGAGGACTTCGTGGAGCGGAAACAGCGAGAAGCTGAGCAATGGAAACGTTCTCCGATACAAGCCAGGCCGAGTTCAGCTGTGAGTATAGCTATGCCCCTCTATTGAGAACCGGTTGACTACCAATCTCTCATGGATTGAGTACATCTGATGGACTTATCGTCGGGTTTCGATAGAATCCTCAGGCTGTCGAGTCCATTTCACGACTATCACCAAGTGGGAGTTCAAGAACGCTGGCTCTATCAGAGGGACCTGGGAGCAGGCTGTCTCATGGTCTTCAGTAATCTCGCATCTCAATACGACAGCTTGCTTTTCGCGTGCTTTAGGCGTCCGTCCTCATCCGTATCGTCAGAGAGACACGCTCCTTTGAATCGTGTGAGTAGCATGCACTTACAAACCGCCAATTTGGGGGATAACAGGAAGATCGTCGTCAATGCCATAACTTGGGTATAAGGAGTGTCTGCCGCTCTGTCTGAGCTCTACCCTTGTCGCATTTCCAGGCTTTGCTCGGTGGTACTGTGAACCAAGAGAACAGGGAAGCAGTACTGAGTGCTACTATCAGCAGGTTCAAGAAATTAGTCATCCTGTTCAAGGACGAAGTCAGCGGACGTCAGGTTTATCGGTACACTTTGGTGTGCAACAAGCAAGAGGGAAGATGGGGCATACGGATACTGTCCGTGCGGCCCATCTTGCCAACTTTATCTACATTCCTGTATCAGCAATCATTGAGATCTCTCGCATTTTTGTTCTCATTATGAGAATCTCATATTAGAGTGTGCGGATCATCTATGCGTATTTCTGGCTCTTTTCTAAGTCTTGTCTGGTCGCTGACGAGACTAATACGCTAGAAGATGCCTCGGGCATCTTCCCAGAACAAGTGCCCTCCTGTGCCATCATGCTTACCTACTCGCACTTCATCTCGTGATCAACTTTTGGAGTCGCTGTTCTTGAGCCTGTCGATTCCTTTGTATTCGTCAGGGCACTCTACGGCTTCGATTCGGGTGAGCAAGCGTTCAGGCGCTTACATTCGATGTCTAGCTCCCCTGCTATTCTCGAGGAGCGCCATATATCGAAAGCCTACCGGTGGGAGCTCGCGATGTCAATCGAAGATGGCCATCAAAAATCTCTGCTGTTTCGTTAGATACACCTCCAGCACGAGATCATTCAGGGAGATTCCTGGCCACCGTGCCTTGGACGCGGCGACTGACGCAGTTAGCCTCCGGCCACACCTATTGAAGGCCTCCGTCCGGCCGAGAAGCTATATATGACCATTTCCAAGTACCCTTCATGTCGTTACTCGTTGCACCTTGAGTTTCTCCAACCGTTGATTTATCAGAGAAGGGCGAAAGTTTCGCCGATAATATACAATGCATGGTTTCGCCGCGAAACCATGCGTTGTATATTATGTAGGGGAGATTTCAGCAGCAGAGATCAATTCACAGTAAGATTGAGTAGAACCTTGTCAAAATCACATTCCAGATGCTGGAGTCCATAAGAAATAATGTCTAATTTACGTATAGTCGATTTACATCTCAATCCATGTATATAACTTGTATTGTTCAGTCAAATAACTTTACTCTATCGCACAAACAGTTCGTCCGCAGTTTAACTGCTGTGAGCCTATGACAAAAGCAGGTTCGCGAATTCTTCGAGAATTCGACAACTTCTGCGAAGTTTGGGTCATTCATATTTCAGTGCCAGTCAAGCCCTCTGGGCCAAGGGTCAGACTACTATAATCGAACTTCCCTGATCATTGACCTGATGAGTTAGCAGTGCTAGCTACTCAACGTATTTTTGTGCAGCTCAGGCTGTGTCTCGCGCTTGCAAAGATTATAATCATCACTTCACCTACGGCTCCGTGGGAATAGAGGAATCTCCGGTATTACTGCAATTGCAGAGAAGAACTCGAGGAATTTTTCGAGAGGCATTCTCTTATGAGTTCCTCCGCATTCCCCAACTACTGACTAGCAACGAGAACCCGAGCGGATGAAAGGGTTCGAACACAATGGGAAGATAACGAACCTTATGCAATGAGCCTTGTGAAGTTGCGATCTACGAACAATATAAATTTCGGTCATACACTCAATATCAAATTGATTGGAATAGTCGGAACCTTTCAACGAGATTTCAGTGATCAGCATCAGACACGGGAGCGCGCGCCGGAACGGTTTTATGTCACTATGGAACTACCATGATGGTAGTCCCATGATAGGACCTTTGAATGAGGTAGTGGCGACGCCTATTCCAGTAGAGTAATTCGAACATCCACGTAGAAGCTCGGAATATCCTGTCACTGAGTAAGTGTCAACATCGGAATATCCTGGCAATAAGCTCTGGGGATCTCAGGGTTAGGAATACTTTAAGTGAAAGCCTCGTATTACACCCGAATATCTTACGGTCCCACAAAAGGTATAGGCCCTTCATCATCATGTCCAATCGATGGCCGCCGCTGAACTAGTGCACATGATAGTTGGCTATACTTGGATCATCAGTTATTTCACACGTGTTAACCATGCGGATCATCCGATTAGCCCCCGTGTTCGTCTCCATCATATGTACGGTCGGTCAGGATACCGACTCGTGCTCTACGCCTGATGGCGCTAATGTCGGACGAGGGCCGACCCTCTTCAACAACCTCAATACATGTGTAACTACAACGGGTGGCTTCAACGATGCTGCTCTCGAATGCGTAGCGGCAAGCACCAACATCAGCGAGCTGTGTGCAAGTTGCTACTTCGAACTCTATTCGTGCGGTGCAACGACGTGCCAGCAGCCCTGCACGGAGCAATTCTCTGCAGACTGTGTCGGTTGCAGCATGAATGTATGCGGCGATGAGCTGCAGGTCTGTACAGGGACGCCCGGAGCTGTCCTCCCACCTCCCTTCACTACAAGCGATTTGACGTTGCCCACATCGGCTCCCGACGGTTCTGTTGTCAATCGGGTTCCCCATGGCCTATACGTTCTACCCGATTCAGACGAAGTTCATGTTTCGGTGAATATCGATAACGTTGCCACCACTCTCGATACTGTCATTAAGATCAATACGGACTCTCCGCTCATCCCACGAATAGATTCTCAGTGTGCTGACATGCCCTACACTTTCGATGCGAACAGGTCAGCAATCGCTGTGGACTTCGCCGAAGCGGTCTGTCTCAAGAGCGTCTATGATGACCTACGCACCGTGGCCCCTGGGCTACCGGTGAGTCTGTTAACGATGCAGTACGACAAGGCCGCTAACACTCTATCCATGCCGTTGCTATCTGTATTCGTGCTCGAGAAAGATTCTAACACTTCTAGTCCCATACCTCCGTCGAACTCTTCAACCACCGTGCCTCCACTGGGTGCGGAGAATCCGAACTTATCAGCGTCTACTGACGCCATGTGTCTGTCGTTATCCTGTTTTCTCACTATACTTCTTTCTTTTTGAATTCAATCCTGTGAAAAGTATTCGATATTCTCAGTGTGGTGATCGTTATATATACAGTAAGTACTCGATATTCCATAGGCAAGTATAGATGGATATGCAGATCATATGCGGATGTTGCGTTTGGTTGTACGAGTATCATACAGGAAAGTGCACCTTAGGGTGATATCATTGATAGGAATTACTAAGCAGCGCAAGATAGTGTTGGGTAATATATGAAAAAAAGCGACATGTACATGAGTTGGTGCTATTCCTCACCAATCGCCTCAACTTGTTGCTCGTGGAGTTTCTCAACCCGCCTAAATGACATGGGAGAATAAGAAGATTTCTGTTCTCCACACGACCCACTCATAAACATCATTTGCTGCTCTTTGAAGATCATCAACCATTTGGAGACACTCATGCATCTCAGTTGACACCTGATACCAATTCATCTTGGAGAAAGACCAGGTATAGTTACGTCGATGCCCATTGTCTGTATCTTGAACAAGGCTTTTCCGGCCATGTGCTCGATAGAGGGCATTATCTCCTCAGAGGACTTCATCAATCTTCGTGAGATCATCAATGCCTGAATGGGAGACCTTGGTATCAACGAACAACTTCCATGGTTACCGCTAGGCGGATAGCCGCGGTAACTCACCAGACTTCTCCGATCGGTTGACACGCTGGCACGTTTTAGATCAGCAACGGCTTGGTCCATGTCGAACTCGGTGGGGTCTTGCATGCCATCAGTCATCCCAATAGACACTTCAAGAGGTTCTCCTGTGCCACTTCGAGCAGCGCTCTGCAATGAAGTGAATGATAGACGGAATCGCAGAGTAGTGTAATCCACCCTAGTCGCATCCTTCCCGTTATTGGCTTTGTAGAAGATCTTAGCGTAAATACTGGGAGCATACCGGGCGAGTCTCCTCTTCACTTTCAACTTAACCATGAACCATTTCTTGAGCTGCGCCACGAAGGACATCCTGAAGGTATTTATAAGGACAGCAAGTAGCGTAGGATGGACGAAGATGTGAGGCTCGACTCATCGCCTACACATCGTTCTCTCCCTCCTCAATGCCTCTACCATTCGATACCTGATCGGACCGCAACCTACAGCCGGCAAAGAACGGGCGATTCCCCCGCTTACCTCATCACTGAGTCCAGCTAGGATGATGGCGAACATTTGGTTGGCCAGAAGGAAGTACACAACCACAACGTAGAAAAGCACTGCGACGGTCCCTACCTGCCGAGACACTATCGCTTCGGGGAAGGTGACATTCCACTCACCACTGGTCTCTCAGCATAAATAAGATTCAGATCAGCATCTCTCAGGAAGCCGCGGGACAAGAAGAGGAATGTCTTCCCGAAAGTGGACAACTGAATGATGGTGGTCGGTCAAGGCAAATCATCGCGCCTGTACCTCATTGATGGAAGCCCCAAAAGCAACGTTGAACGCCGTGACAAAAGCGACGAATGTCGTGACGAACAGAACGATAAATGCTCCCCATTGCCGACAACCACCACGGAGCGACTTCAGTAGAAGTTTGATGTGAGGTAGAGGGGCGATGAACTTGAATAACTTGAGAAATATAGAAACTGGAGCAAACGATCTCCTACGAATCTTGGTGCTCGCCACCTACGTGCGGTCAGCGCGTAGATCTGCTCCGTTAACTGATTGTCAAGTGCAATCTGCTGCAGGTCAGTGTAAACATTGGAGTCCTGGAGTTCAAGGACTCCGAACTGTATTGCCGGCGGAGCGAAGTTATTCGTCCCGACGTCTAGGTTCTAGGAGTAGTTTTGCAGTGATAGTTGTAATGATTCTAGCATTACCGATGTCGTTGCGGATCCGGTGGTGTACGTGATGCGTGTTGCAGGAGTCGCTGAATAGATCTTGAGGCGAATTGCAAAGGCGGCGATGAGGAACACAAGCACGATCCAGTCTATGATATTCCACGGGTCTCTGTGAACAACAGTGCATCTTTTTGAACGATTAAATAGCTCTCTAGCGAGAAAGCGCCAGGGAGGGGATGAAAGCTTCTCAACATTTACTTGAAGTATTTCCACCGGGCCTTGGCAAGCTCTGTGGCTGCCTCTGCAACGTAGTAAAGCATGAACATGACAACGATTACTTCTCCTGCCGTGGTCATAATTCTCAATACGGACGCGACCGGTCTCACCGAAAGTTGTCATCCACTCGCCGATACTTCCGATGCCCTCAGGGGTGAGGAAAACCCTAGGCTGTAGGGTAGTGACGTGGACCTCGGGTGAGACCAGCCCAGATGGACTGAACTCTATCGTAACGAGCACCTAGTATATAATGAGAGACCAGATGGATGTGGCAGGTTGCCTCACCACACCGAAGAGACCGAGGTTATTGTTCCAGACGCCCATCTCTAAGAACACCGCTCGAGTCGATAAATCGACGAAGTTGGCGATCTGGAGGAGTTCTGTTCGCCTGTCATAATCATCGGGATCGGTGGGTAGCTGCACCATGTATCCACCCGGAGGATACGTGGCGAACCTGACCTCTCGTCATTCAGAATTCACAGGTCTCGAACTGCTACTTTCCTTTATGGTTAGGAAGACTAGTGCTGACACCGTTGCTGTCAGTCGTAGCGTCATCATACTCGAACCAAATGTATCTATAAGGCCATGGAAGCCCCAGGGTTGGTCTTGGACAATAACCTGGCGTCGATCGCATTCCTCTGTATCTCTTCATCAGTCGGAACTTCTGTTGTCGCGGATTGCACGACTTCTTCACCTGCCTCATTAGGCTCCCGAACATTTCTATGCGCCAAGTTACCACGGCCGAGCTTAATCACATCGTCTATGGTAATTGACTGGCCAGTATCGTCGATGAGCTTCACGCCGTATGGCTCCTTCTGCATGTTCGAACCGGAGAACGGACCGAAGCAAGTTATCGTCCACAACGAGAACATAGAACCGCCCTGAAGCCGTGCTTCACATATGATGCGAAGGTTCGCCGCAACACCTCGCAGCCTTGCGACGCCGTAACACGTTGCTGCCTCAGTCTAGGGGAACCGAACATCCAATTATCAGCATCGATTGGTATTAAAGCCGCCCCACCCGAACTGCTCAGCAGATCTCGGGCAAGCTGGGCATCAACATTCTCGGGGAACAGAGCCCTCCGTAGGCCTTGCCGTATATACTGAGACACTCCGTGATCCGAGCTCACAGCGCTTTTTGATCTCGCCAGTACTCTCCAGAATGATGGTTGATCATGAACCTCTCTGAGCATACCATTAGCCGAGAATTTATCGCGCACTGGCAAAGGGCATCAGGTGATGCGCTCAATCCATTGAGATGAGACGCTTTCCTTACGATGCTGAGTCAAGCTGACTGTGTTCTGGTTGAGGCTCGCCAGTACTGTAACAGTGAAGGTTATCATAAAGATCAGAAACATGACGAAAAATACCCACGGTTTGATGCATATTCGAGTGGATACTCCGTGCCTGAAGTGAAGTTGGCACTAGTATCTAGTTCCTCCCCCACTCATTTACGTGGGCTTCTTCATCTCCTTTGGTGCGGTTACTGTAGGTACCAGTAGCTGAGAGGTTGGCCGTATAGTCGCCCGTTGAGTTCGAAGTAAATTCCGTGGTAGGGAGAATCGTGGCTTTCGGGATTCCATGAGAGATTGACTCACCTGCAATGTATAGCAGTTCAGCGGTTGTGTTGGACACTGTTTGAACTCGAGAGATTTCTCTGGGTGGGGCGGCTATGCCACCACCGCAGGATATGCCTTAGCGCAATCAATTTCCCCGGGTGGGGCGGCTATGCCACCACACCAGGATATGCCTTACGGCAATCAGTTCCTCAGGCGGGGCGGCTATGCCATTACTTCCAGATATAACTCAGTACAATCAATTCCTCAGGCGGGGCGGCTATGCCATTACTTCCAGATATGACTTAGTACGATCAATTCCTCGGGCGGGGCGGCTATGCCACTACTCCAAGATATACCCTAGTACAGAATAATGATGGCCAATCACCCATAAGGATTAATTATAGGGGACTTATCACGATGGTGAGGAATCCACCCCTGGTGGAATCCTCATTCGTCTTCAGAATGACTCAGCTAGGCACCACAATGATTCATTCAAGCGTTAAAAGATTCATTGGTGACGCGTGAACAACACTGTAAAAGCTAGACAGTAGTACTCCCCCGGTTTGTGCGTACCATGACGCACAACGCCAAATCGTGAAGTCATCGCGTGTTGAGGTTATGAGCAACACAACAGAACTTGAGCCAAGATGGCTACGTTAATAACAGACCCCTCCTCTAGAACTTCTGCTACAAGTGCCTCTATAAGATTATGATAATAGCTAACGGCAAGACTAGACTCTTGCACTCTTGCTATTCCTCTATAAAGATCAAGTAGTAAAGATTTCTCTACATCTCGGTCCCCCAAGGTGGCGGCTATAGAGCAGACACCTTCCTCGAAGACTCATCAGAAAGCTGCGTAGGACTTTTCAACTTTAGAACTGATATTCCTTTTGGATCGACAGCAATGGTCGCAGGAATATGCGGGGGACCTCCTATCTTCAAAATACCATCAGAAGTGAAATACATAGGTACAACAGTTCTATGGTCATCAAGAAGCTTATATTCATGGACAAGAAGAAGATCATCATTAGTCCATGAGACCTTACTACCAACTCTCACCGTACCATCTTCATCTTTCCAGGCTAGGAAAGTGTGACCAGAAGACACAATTCGCACTCGCCTCTTAAGTGGAAGGTCTTCCGCGATAGGTGGAGATGACAGTCTCTCCCTTTTATGACCTCTGGGGATAGATGAAGGCAGATGGTCTTCATCTGGCTCACCAAACTGATGTTCATCTTCCGAGCTGAAATAGGGCTTCAAATGATCCTTGTGGAAGACCTGTCGAGTACCGTCAGGAAGTTGAACCTCATAACATTGCCCGCCAATTGGACCCATAATGACACCCCTAATCCACTGGGAATCCAATTTATGTTGGGGCTTACGATATACGCAGACAGATTCGCCTCGAACATAATGTTCTCGTACCTCTGGGCCTTTACTCTTCTCTCTTGATCTAGTCCATGCATCCGACCAAACGCTTAATAGCTGTCGACGATGGCGATCCAACCGAGATATCTCAGAGAGTATGGTCGAGACTCTAGCCTTGTTAGGGAAGGAAATAAGTGATGTCACATCCTCATGAGTTAGCGGCTCCTTCAGAACTTGACTACGAATCGAAACGTCAAAAGGGAGCCTCAACTTGAATCCGAAGAGAATCTCATGAGGGGAAATACCGAGCTTATAAGCGTCGACTCCTTATCAATACGAACAAAGTAATCTTCTACTCGCTCATCTTCTCTCTGCACTAATCGCTCCCAACGTAATAAGGCCTCACCTTTATTGAAGGTTCCCAAATATCTTTCATCAAGGTACTTCCAGATCTCAGTTATAATCTCAGCGCTTGATGCCCCCTCTCGCAACTTCTCTCTAATCATAACATTAATCTCATCTTTGAGAGGTCCCGAGAAGTTACGAAGAATATAATAAAGCTCAGCATCTCCATGCAAATGATAAATAACAACAGCATCTGAGACTTTCCGCTTCAATATTTCATAGGGTAGTTCAGGAGTTGGTCGAGACCATGGAGCTCCCAACACGAGATCCAAACTATTCCATTTAACTTTATAATCATTCCTAGAACCACCGGCCTTAACACCACCACCAGAGCCATCACCACTTCCCATCTCACCAGTTTTGCCAACCAAGAATAATTCCAAAGCATTATGTAAATCCTCGTGGCGATTAATGGGCCACTCGATACCTTGCGATCGAATAGACACTATCACTTGCTTCGCTAGATACTTCGCAAGAGAATTAATCCATTCCCCACTCATGCCCTCAACTTGAGCGGCATCAATAACGGCCCCATAGATTACCCTAGCTTTCTCCTCAACATCTACAATTTCCGTTTTAGAAGCCCAACGCTGCAATTTCGCCCTCATAATTGATACCTCCTTATTGAAGGCATCCCTCTTTTCAACCTCTAGATAAAGACGTTGCATCTCCATCCCCAGGTCCACACCTACAATAGGTGCTATTACGGCACTTGCGAATACAGCGTCGGCAGATCCTGCATCGGGTACCATTTTGTTGAGGTTATGAGCAACACAACAGAACTTGAGCCAAGATGGCTACGTTAATAACAGACCCCTCCTCTAGAACTTCTGCTACAAGTGCCTCTATAAGATTATGATAATAGCTAACGGCAAGACTAGACTCTTGCACTCTTGCTATTCCTCTATAAAGATCAAGTAGTAAAGATTTCTCTACATCGCGCTTCGCTCCGCTCTCATCAGCCCAACTCGCTGAACGGGATTGTTATGCCATCGCAGGGTTTGCTCGACAATGTCCTACATTGGCAGTCGGGTTCGTGAGGTGGACGGCAGGAAGGTCGTAGAGATGTCATCTCCAAGTAGTGCCGCGGTGAATACTGACCTCATACAGAAGTTTTTGTGTCAGGTGATTCCTGTGCCCCGACTACCTGTGGTGGACTCGAGCCCTCGCCCTACGCTTCACCATCTGAGGATACTATCGATCATACCACGGATGCCGTGGCAGTGATTGACGAGGCTCACTTCACCAGTAGGACTCCTCTTATACCTCCTATTACGGCCAACAAGAAGGTACCATGGGCGTATCTTGTGTGCTCCTCGAGATGATAGGAATGTCGCATCTACTCATATTCTTCCCAAGACTCGGTGTACTGGCTGACGGGTCCAGTAGTGTATATATACTTTTTTTGACGCGTCCAGTATACCATTGACTCTCTGGCTCAGCAACGATTGACTCTGATTTGTCAATATCTACTGGTTGGAAAAATTATACCAGGATCCTCACTATTTCAGTCTTCCGCTGATTGTTATTTCCGTGGTTACTCTCCTCCGATTTGCTCCCCTCTCTCTTCAGCTCTCATCCTCATTGGTACGGTTACCCATCAGCAAGCGGTCGAGTCAGAAGTGCACCCACAAGAAGAGAAGAGCCGCATCCTCCCAGCGAGGTATTTGAAAGTCACATGTTGTAGTTGTAGCTCTTACCACCAGGTATTGACTACGTCACCTTTGCTACAGCTTCTGGACGCAGTATTCCAGTGGTCAGCCGATATACGAACGTGAAGGTCATCGGTACTGGCAGTTATGGCACTGTACTATCAGCCAAAGATGCTGTAGCAGAGGTCACGGGGATTGGACCCATGGAAGTCGCTGTGAAGTAAACTTGTGAACTTTTGGTGGTATTTATGTCGGAAACTATCTTCAGGCACACTGTTCTAGTCGAGGACAAATTGAACGTCGAGGACTGGCCGGATATCGTTCGAATGTATCACAAGTTCATCGACGCAGTGCCGGAATCGATTTCATCGCTTTCAGAATTAGGGAAGTAGAGTTACTCCGTGACTTCCACCACGAAAATATCCTGCCGATCAGCGACATGTAAGTGGATGTTCTGTGTTGGAACCTTCCCATGCAGCCTGATAGATTCCCTCAACCCAGCGGTTACGCCATGACCAGCATTGGTATCGTCACGCCTATGTACAAAGGAGGCACACTGGCGACGTAGGTTTCTGGGTGGTCCTATTTAGGAGTACCCATGATGTACCAGATATCAGCCGCGCTCACTGGCTCAAGTCATGGCATTCACTCGGCAGATACTCTGTGCTCTTTCCTTTATGCATAATAACAATGTAATAGACTGCAACAAGCGCTTCTGGACTAGTAGCCGTTTCCCTCTAGGTCCTTCATCGCGATATCAAGAGAGATAACATTTTCGTGACAGAGGATGGCCGTTCGGTGGTCCTGGGGGACTTCGGCTTAGCGCGAGGTCCTATCTGGGAATCATTCGTGGTGTATACAGAAATTGACTGGGAATTGCAAAAGCTAGAAGAATCTCAGTGTTAGGACGATTTACTCATTCTCAGCCTCTCCATACCCCTTGGCTAGACTCTCCACCCCTTACCGTAGCGTTCCTGGTGACCGAATGGGGATGAGGTCGTCGACGTCTGGCAGCACTGCTGAGGTCATGACCACGCGCATCGTGACAGCACCGTATCGAGCACCGGAACTACTGTTGAACCACGATCACTATGATGGTCGGATAGATGTAATAAGAAATACCACAGTTGGCTAGGCGATAGGTAATCGTTTTTGACTGTCGCTGCGAGGAGTGAGGTACTACGTGACGAGTGGCTAGGTTGACTAGTATATCATGCAAGACTGGAAGGATTGTATTGCGAGGAATCATCGGTGTTCTTTTATATGGTAGGTGTTCGCTACCGGCTGCGTGGTTGCTGAGCTCATCTTCGCTCCGGGTAGCAGCCGGTCTCATCTATTCAAACACGATGATACTAATAACAAGGATTTGGAATATCAATATGTATGCATCTCATAGGTGTTGTGCTCATCATTACTGGCCTCTCTCTCAGACTAGGGACTGTCTGGCACAGCAGTTGGTGATGGACTGCCTTCTTAACGGGGACGATGATACCGATGAGGCCTTAGAGAGCCGCATAGACGCTATGAGTAGTCGTTGCAAAGCGTCTGTGGGTGGTAGCTCCTATGTTCATCAGGCGACTGGCTTGATCACGGTCCGAGGGCGAGGTATTTGAAGCAGTTCCAGGGTCTAACGGTATCGGAGGACCTTAGGAGAGCCGCTTTGATGGGATCTTGTACTGTACAGAAGGTTCGGGAGAAATTTGCAATAATACAGGTGGGAAAGTTGTATAGTTTTCCGACGTAGTTTTCTTCTCAACAGGCTGAAAATCCAGGACCGTTGGTGATGCATGTGCTGAGATCCCTGCTGACTTTCGATCCTCGCCAGCGACCCCAGTCTCAAGAGATGCTACTCGAATTCGACGAAGTATTCGACATGGGTTTTGAAGGTTATTGCGGAGAAGGCGAGTACAGCGGCCCTTCAGAAGACGATTTAGAATTGTAAGGTCTCCGGTTCAATTCCCGGACTCGTCATCTGGCCTCTCTATGCAGTGAAATTGAAACTGGCTTGCCCACCGAGTCTAGCCGTTACGTTTGCGCTAAAGAGATCTTGTGGAACCTGATGTTGGACAGTCGGAAGACTCTCAATTCATCAGGAAAGATAGAGGCCCGTCGGGTCACAGGTAATACAGGCGGGATTAGCGCTATTAATATGATGCCGTCCCTTGCTATGTGTTCAGATATCTTTGAGCATGATCGATTCACGGCTGGTAGTGGGATAGGTCGTATACACCAACTGGCTGATGAATTAAGCCGCAAATACTTAAGTAGTTCAACGAAATCACCGCGGTATCGTCATCAGCTTGCTCAGGTCGGCGAGTGGTACCGACTTCTGCTCATCCCGATTGAGCGAACGTTCCTTCATTACAGCTGAGTTACTATATTTCCTTTGCACTGGGGCTCTATGTTATATATAAGTTTTGATTGCTGCTGCCGTTTGTTTCCGGAAGACACCTAAGAGCTATTGTGGAATAATATGCAACCATTCGCCTACGTGGTAGCACTGGAGATCCACGGCTTGTCTTTAACTCTGTTACGAATTACAAACAACCTGATTGATTGTCCCCTGAGCTCCCCTGATACTCTGGCTTGGCATCAGCGAATGCTCTGTGAGTGTTGTGTTAAACAGTGGGTTAGATGGACGTCGGTTAGTTTAGTCTGTAACGATCAAAAATGTCTATGGTCGAGGAAGCAAGAGATCATGTGAAGAAGGCTCAGGAAGCGTAAAGGGCCAGCGGCCTTTAAAGGACAGTATTTCGCACTGAGTCCTTGCTCAGGTTACATCCGTCAATTTGGCGACTACAGTTCTCTCCGGACTACTTAGTAGCCGCTCTGGAACTCTCTCAAGCGGCAGCGTGTTTCCAATCAGCTTCCTTGAACGACCAAGCGGCCAAAGCATGGCTGAAGGCAGCAGAACTTAGGAAGACTAACCTCCGAGAGTAGGCTCGTTGAATTCGTCCGCGCTGTCGATAGGCTTCTGATGAGACTCGTTCATCTACGTTTCCATGCATCCATCTTAGTTTCCAAGGAGCTGCTCGTAACTTCGAGTCGGCTGGGCAGCTGGTGCACAACCCGGAACATTACAAATCGGCTGCTGATTCTTACTTGGCAGCTGGGAAGGCTGACCAAGCTGCTCGTGCCTGGACTAAGGTGAAGTGGATTTTGTTGATCGCTGGCCTCATGGCTATATGCAGGTAGCGGGGATACTAGCGAAGACGGATCCTGAAGGGGCCACTGATGCGTATAGAAAAGTGGTGGACATCTATAGGGCCGACGGAGATGTCAAGCATGGAGGAAATGCCTATGCATTGGAAGCATTGCGAGTGTATGATATCGTGTGTAGAAGAAGCTGTGGCAGTGTTTTTCGAGTAGATACCAGGACTGGTTATTGTCACGGCATGAACTCGAGAAGTGGCTGGAAGCATCGAAGGAGAGCAGTACACTCCTTGAAGCTGCAGGGCTCTACGCATCAACCCATAAGGAGCTGCTAGCTCGAGTGAGTCGTTATCAGGTCGGGGAATGTAGTCGACAGTTAATCTCAGGTGGTCGTGCTACTCTCGACGGGTGACAGTGTAAGGGCGGACGAAGTCCTGGCATCTTGTCTTAACGTAGCTGGCATGGTTTCGTGACATGGACAGGTTTCGACGTCTGGTCAGGTGAATGGATTTCTAGCCTCTGAGGAGATGGCTGCTGGTGAGGGTATGGTCATCGCCTACCGTAACAATGACGCTGAGGCCTTACAGGATGCTGTGAATAAAAACTGTGTCAAGTAAGACCACCAGTCTAAGTCCCTCACATCATCCTGCTCGCGATGGTAGGTTTTTGCCTATCGAGATAGTCAAAATAGCGAAGTCGTTGAAGGTCGCGGAGCTCCCATCCCCGTCTCGGTCACCTGGGGGGAACCCAGGTCCAGAGAACGATGCTACAGATGCCGCTGAACCTACTCCAGAGGGACTTGGTGCGTTATTACTCTAATTCTGATGTTATCGCGTTGTTGAGTTGTTGTCGAGCAGTGGAGTCTGACACGTTCATACGCCTAGAACACGACATATAGACTTCAAGCTGGCTGACACAACGATTCATGTGTGCTGAGGTTACCGAAATCAACGACCTTGAGACGAGTAGCCATGTCCTTCTTGCTTCCGTCATCCAATGTTCATTCACCGTCATCGTGTTTCCATATGTCAGCGAGCGATCTTACACTATGACGTCTTGGAAATAGGATTACATTTGATAATAGGGTTTCTACGGTGGGTTCGAGCAGTCTTGGCCTATGACTCTTAGATTTGATGGATCCAATCTGCTCTACCACCAGATCGATTGATATACTAGACTGAATACCAAAAGTGGACTCTTGAGTTCACGTTCAATTTTCAGACTTCCCGTGAGATGGTGCGCACAGTGGGTGTACTTCCCATTTCTGAGGTCACTCAGGCAAATCAACACTCAGTCTAATACTTCGGACTAAGTATTAAGTGATGTTGGAAGTTCATCGGAAAAAGAAAGCTGTTAATAAAATCATTGTCATCGTATGCTAGCGTTCCATTGTCATCAGCATATACGACATTCAGGGTCTCAAATAATCTTTTCGTCAACAGGCCACATGATGGTCTTAGTTTCGAGGTAGTTCTCAAGTGCCTCCGCTCCCTGAGGAAGAACCAGTCCAGTCTCATCATCCACAGTCCGGCACCCCACCTTCTCGCGGCCCCATCCAGACAACTTATAGCCACCAAAAGGAGCAGCGGCATCGAAGTTATCGTAGCAGTTGATCCACACTGTACCTGACATCATCACCACCACGAACATCCCACCCTGACTCGGCACGTTATCGGCTCACCCGCCTTGAGCTCCCTTGCTACTTTGGTAGCCTTGCCGATGTTGCGAGTACATATGCCCGCAGCCAAACCGAAGGAAGTATCGTTGGCCCTTCTAACGGCCTCTTCCATAGTCTAAGAGCAGACAGCAGCAGTCCGAACAGGGCGGAGGATAGCGTATGTCTCACGTCAAAAGGAGCAATCTGCATAACTGGTCCGAATATCTCTTCTCTGGAGATCCTCATATGGTCTTTCACGTTTCCGAACACCGTCGGCTGGACAAAGTACCTAACAAGAGTTCACAGCGCATCAATGACGACCTGTTTAGATCGCCTCATCAGGCTCTCGACAACTGCGTTGTCCTAATACCTACCCCTTGTCTCCCAAACGCTTCCCACCGCAAAGGAGATCGGCACCCTCGTCGATGCCGGACTTGATATACGACATTACTCTCTCAAACTGAATCTTGTCAACCTAGAAATGGGTAGAGTGAGCAACTCAGTGGCATATTGTTGAACGTCACCTGAGGCCCCTGATCGCAGGTAAGGTCACGAGGATCCCCAACTTTCTTATTCTTAGCGCGCTCAACAGCCTTCTTCACGAACTCATCATAGACACCACGCTGTACGTAGATACCTGAACACCATGGTCACAATACAGAGAAGTCAAAACCTGATGTTGGCTTCTTACGGCTAGCGGCACAGCAGCATTGACCGTGATTGAGGAACAGACCGATATCAGATGCCGCTAGAGCCTGGTCGAGATCAGCATCATTGCACACGATTAGAGGGGACTTCCCGCCCAGTTCGAGGGTAACCTGAGAGGAGTTCAGTCGCCGTGGCGGCAATAGGGTGGGCACCTTCTTGAGATTTGACTCGGCACTAGCCTTGACGATCTTAGGGCCTGTCACACTGCTGCCGGTGAATGCCACCTTGTCAACATCCATATGGCGTGCCAGGATCTCGCCTACCATTATCAATTATAGACAGCAGACTAGACCAACCGTGGAGTTTACCAACATCAGGGCCGCCATTGACAATGTTAACTACTCCAGGAGGGAATCCAGCCTCCTTGATAAGCTGTCCGAAGAGGAGCCCGGTAAGAGGTGTCTTCTCAGATAACTTCATCACGACCGTACCTACAGCACCGACGCTGCATCATTGATCAACAGCAGGCATGGTGTAGGCCTACATCCAGCTGCAAGGGCCGGAGCCAGCTTCCATGCTTGCATGAGCAAGGGGAAGTTCCAGGGAATGATCTGCCCAACTACCCCAATGGGTTCCTTAACGGTGAGACAGATGTTGTGGCCGTCGACCGGTACGACATTCCCGAGCACTTTGTCAGCCCAGCCGGCATAATACTTGTATATCTTCTTACACAGGTTAATATCAGCTGCCTTGGCCACCGTAATTGGTTTCCCGTTGTCCAGACTCTCAAGTTCAGCGAGACGGTCCTCATGGAGTTCGATCAGGTCAGCAAGCCTATAAAGGCAGTCTCTGCGGAAAGACCCATCAGAGTCTTTCCAAGTCTCGAACGCTTTCCTCGCTGCCTTCACCGCGATGTCAATATCCTCCGCACCGGCAATTTCGACCTTCTCGATAGGCTCCCCATCTACTGGATTGATGGACGTCAGCGTTTTACCAGACTTGGCCGAGACGAACTCATTGTTGATGAAGAGCTTTGTCTGGATCGGGAGGCTCTTGCTTGGGGGTGTTAGGCCGTTGGCGGTCATGATAAGATTGGATCCACTATGAGAGGCAAGTAATGCGCAATCAGCACGCATGCGCTTAAACGTGCTGCTGGCCACCCCCAACGAGTGACGCGCCAGAGTGGCAGCAGGATAACCAGTGCGAGGAGCTCCTACCATCTAGGGTGCAAGTTATCCCCCGGCCGACCATGAACAGCCGTCAATACATCTAGCGCCAATGGCACAGGTTGCCCTGGGGTTTAGATAATGTAGCCTTGTCGGCTGGCCCAAACCCGAGAGTAACTGATGGAGCTCTGCACGCCTTGGATATGAGATCCCAAACTGGTTATTTGAGGAATGGAGATGGGTGCAATGCGCGAGACCGACCTTGCTCGCATCACAATGGTAACGGTGTCATCCGACGCGACTCGCGTCACCATCGGTGTCACGACATTGTGCGCGGGAAAGCCCAAGAGCGTGACGGCGGAGCATATACTGTCACTTCGCGCTTTTCTGTGCGTTCGTTGTATTATTTCTCTACAGCTACATCGGCCGAACTCTCGAGACACATACCGTTCGGGATATCGTAGCTCATATATCCTGCAGAAAGTATGTAAGTGCCCTTCACCCGAGCCGATGTCGTGTATTGGCCGAAACTGTGAAGACGCGATGGACCGTCACTGACGGCGAACGAACAGAAAATGTGCCGATTTTCTTCCAATAGTATAGTCGATGCGATTTCTGTTATCAAGCGCCAAACGGTTGCAACTTCCGACCCGACGAAGCGGGCAGGAAGGCCTAATCACAAAGGAGCATCCAGGACTTACGCAGCTCCAGAATCGACTCAGACTCGCTGTCCGCCCACACCACCACTAGAACTGATACTATTCAGAAGTCTATTTGGCGAATGAAGCCACTATGATTGCGAATAGGGATCCCACATATACGAGCAGAGGCATTAATCTAGCGCTTGGGTGTAGAATAGAAGATCGTTATATTAGCGAACGAGGAACTCGGTTTAGCGACGTGGAGATTCCAAATCCCCGAATTCGGACCTCCGTTTCGGGTGATAACCAAAATGTCGAGTCATGGTGAAGCCCTGAACGTTGCAGTCGATTCTCTGTGGATATGCCCAGTATGAAGACGATGAGAGCTCTGCAAGTTCCCTTCCTGCATTCTGTGGTACTCGTGGGCCTAGCACAATTACCTTATACCTAGCTTGAACCGTTCGGGAGAGTTGTGGTGTTCCCCCACGGGAAGACTAAAACGCAAACGCTCATAAACTTCATTAACATATGGAATGACCCATCCAAAGTTCCGTGGCCTCTACACCAAGTAGTCGAACTCTGCTGAACTTCGATGATCTAATTGATGGAAGGGTGATGATACGACAGGCAAAGGTAGAAACGTCCACTGTACTGCTATAAAAAGGGCACTTTCCTTATGAGTGTGATATCCGAAAGAAATTGCAAGACCAAAAATGACTCGCCGTTGCTGATACAGCTTCGTTTAGGTAAGGTCTCGCTCGCAGGATGGTAGAAGATTCAATGTGGGGATGAATACTACTGATGATGGAGCCGTGAGTGGCCTCTTTCTGATAGCTCCGCTTTAGCGTAGACTCTTTAATATCTGTTACCTTTGATACTACTGGAGTATGCTAGCCATAATGGAGAGGATAAGTGGACCCTTCATCATCTGATTCTGCCGAGTAGTGAGTCTACCGTGGAGCAGGTCAGAACACCCACTACGATTTTCGTTGAGACGTAGAGGTCTGAGACTCTACCTGAGAGATTACATTCGCCGCACTCTCTAATACTCTTATTCGAATAGCTCATCATAAGATGACGAAACTCTGACCAGTGTAAGAACGGAGCAGATCGGCCCACATCAAGGGAATAAGCCTTCCTTGCTCGAGGAATCGTGGTAAAGCCCCAATTGAAGGTTAATACTGTGGCTAGCGGCGGACCGTGGGGTAGAGTAATATCATTGAATTGATATGCATTGTACGAGATGTTAATTCCTATCAAATCAAAACAAAATGCCCTTCTCGCTCGCCTTTCTAATCGATTTGAATGGAGTGAGCTATACACTGGCCGCAGCACGGTGGTCTCCGTAGTCACAGCCTGTCGAAGATGTCTCTCCCTATTAACCAGGGCGACTTCCAGCATATCCAGCGTATTTGCAACACTAACGTCGATGGACGTGTCAAGGTTGCTTACGCTTTGACCGCTATCAAGGTGCTATTCGGGATAGGATAATATACAACCCCACTTGCTTCTATCCTTTCTGTTGACTTTTACTGCTCGACTTATTTGAAATACTGTGTACCATTCGCGTTGTACTGTATCGCTCGCCGTGTTCGAATGTATTTTACTACTGCGACGTTGAATCGCGATGACTATTGTTGTTATGTAGGGTATCGGCCGTCGTTTCGCCACTCTCATCTGCAAGAAGTGTGAGGTCGACACCAACAAGCGTGCTGGCGAGCTCACTCAGGAGGAGATCCAGAAGATCGTTCAGGTCAGTTACACGAGCAGCCCGGATGAGTTCCGTCGCCACCTTTTTGTTGTTCAGGTCATCTCCAACCCTCAACAGTTCCGTATCCCCCAGTGGTTCCTCAACAGACAGCATGATCCCGTCGATGGTACTTACTCTCAGAAGTACTCCAATCTTTTGGATGCTTCCAAGCGTGAGGATTTGGAGCGTATGAAGAAGATGCGTCTCCACAGAGGTCTCCGTCACTACTGGGGCATCAGAGTCCGTGGCCAGCACACCAAGACCTCTGGTCGTGGTGGTGTCCATGCTGATGACTAAGCAGAGAGTAGCGATCATAACAGTAACGATTGCTGCTTATGGTTGAAAGGTCTACACTTCGAAGGCTTTGTACTCCGCCGGCATATCTGTGTCTTGTGTTGATAGTCGTTATTATCAGTCTTGTCCAAGGGGGTAAGCGGATTCTCGTAGGATATCATATACAATGTCCGGTTTTAGAGGACGGCATCGCAACAGACAGCGCAAGAGAGTTCACCATTGGGCAGTGTGGACTTTTCGCGAGAAGGTGACTATGGCAGCATTTTGCCGTAATCTCAGTTCGTCGTGTAGGTATGTTCGGTAAGAATACTCCTCGTCATGGTCGTATCTGCAGTACTATTATGTTCATTATCGCAACCTGGTATCTTTTTCCCTTCAATCGATGTCGGAGTCTCCGAGCACATTTCAGTGGTTCCTTCTGGTCCTCATGATGGTGAGGTTAGTGCCACCTCTAGCTCAGTGGTCGAGTCTGTACGCACGATATCATCGAGTGAAATACAGAGTCTGATAAAGCGGGTCAAGAGCAATGCCCATCGAGCGGCAATTCGTGTCGTGGACCTCCCCGCTGAGTTTGATCCCGAGAGGCTCGTCCAGAAGTACCCTGAATGCGCCGAATGGCAATGGAGCAATGAATACAAGGTTGAATTATCGTGATGAACATCTCATCATCCCCTAGTTCAGTTCCCGAGAGACATAAGACGTGTATTGCGAGACTCGAGTGACGCTGATTGGTGTCTGGTACCGTTCATGACCAAGTGTTGGTTCAACCAAGTTGCCGGGTACCGTCTTGATAAAATGGCAACAGCGGCATTGAAGGTGCCAACGATCGCGGCTTCTCTTCACGACCGCCATCTCAGGCACATCTCGTTAGGTCGTACACTTCATCCGAGACGACCCAGTTTTTTTCGAGGCTTGTCCGTCGAGGAAACAGGTCACGATTGATGCCTAGCTGTTTGTCTATACACGAGTGAGTACATCAGGTTTGGATATTCGCATCGGGAGTGGGCCCTACTATGCTCGGACCCAATTGGAAAGATATCATAAGTGGTCAAGACGTAGTTCTACTCCTGGCCGAAGGTCATTGAAATCTCCTCAGCTTCGTACCAATCATAGGCCATCAGGTGATCAGCTCGGTGGTTTCTATAATGCCAGCAAAGATATCATAATACCGGCAACGCCGAAGATGAGGGCACCTCATCATGGTTATCACAGAAACCTCTTGGCCTTGTTCCGGGGTTCGACCGATTTACACCTCCGAGACGCCGAGGGACATGAAGTCCGTCGTCAGAATGTCTTGAGAGAGGCTCTGTTCGACAATTTGGGAGGAACGTAGGTCATCATCACTGCCTGATGAAAAGCGAAGACGAATGTCACCGTTCATTTGTAACGCTCAACACTACAACTCGCTCCTATAGAGGTTCTCAACACTAGTGACTCGCAGCATGCATCTCTCAAGAAATTGTAGTCATCGAACTATTTCCTTGCTCACACAATCGATGCGAATGCTTCTGTGGCTCAGGGCAGCGGACGTGCTCGTTGCTGCATTCTCCCCGACTTATGATGCTGAAATGAAAGACTCGATATTCTGCTTTATACCTCGCGGCAATACCCCATGGACGAGACGAATCTTCGACGCTATTATCTCGGGTTGCATCCCCGTTGTGAGGCTCTCATGAATACCAAACTCCAGCCTACTTCGTCAGTCGCAGGTCCTGTCCAACGCTATAGTATTCCCGTTTGAGTCCTTGCTCGACTGGTCGCTGTTCACGATCAAGCTTCCAGAGAGCTACGTCGTGACGCAACCCAAAAACATAATCGGTCTCCTGCGTCGTATAGCGGCGGATCCCCGGCTCCTGTTTCCGCTACAGGAAAATCTCCGTGCTGTGTCACAGATGCTCACCGGGGGAAAGGGTGGCGAGGACTCCTTCACCCCATTAGAAGGTGTACTTAGTGCTCTGAGTGAAGGGAGAGGAGCGGTATCGAAAATCGAGAGGAAAACAAACATACGGCTACAACTTTCTGGTCACAATCGACGGTATATGGGTTGATGAAGGAAACACTGGGAGACAAGTCGGGCCGAGCTTTCACGCTGGAGCTGTGCCACATCCTCATGCCTCCCTGTTATGGTCAGATGCTTTGTAATTCTTTCCTTCAAAATGCTTGAGTTATACTTTCAGTGAAGACGTGATTAAAGGGATAAAGGCTTGGTGGTCTCGGTTCTCTGTCCAGCGAGGGGGATGAATAATTAGCCACGTACGCATGCACAGTCTCGCCGAATGGACAGGAAAGTAATCGAACAAACCGAACTACATCTCAAACCCCACTGCGCGGCTTCGTTCGCGCATGGTCACCGTATCATGTCCAATGCAAAAGTGGGAAGCCCCATCTGCAGTAGCTGATGATCAATCTTGTTGCGAAGAAGAATGTATGAGCTACAACCTGTGTCTTGAGAAAGGATCGTACGAACTGTACGTAGGAGGAGTGTTGAAAGTGGCCCGTGAAATCTTGTACAGTATATATATATTGTATATAGCAAACTAGAGACTTTCGAGATAGTTTTTGAAACTTTCGGGAGGTCTTCAGATTCATCTCATACCCATATGGGGGCTCAAGCACCGCGATTCTCTCCGCTATTCAGCGCGAATAGCGCTGGTGTCCAACGTGTGTTCAACCGAGGCATAGCACATGTTGAATTATCATTCGCTCTGTAGAATAATTTTGCTACCTCGTTACTTTTGTTGCGCTGTTCACCATGACACGGTTAGAGTCGTTCAATATTAAGTCCTGGATTAGACTAGTTGAGTTTTCTTTCCTCCTGACATCATCGACAGAATTGTGTAGGTATCGGTGTTGATGACAGTAGTCCATCCCCTTGGGATGGTACTAGTCGAACCTTTGACAGTGTCAAATTGACACTCATCTCTTTCACGCGTGATAAACTGCACTGTGTCACTCAACGCATCCGAGATGAACAACACAATGATAAATGCCAAACAGCAACGGAAATGTATACGACGAGCAGTGAATGCTATAAGGGCCTGTTTTTGATAAAGGGATTCGTAGGATCGATTTGAACGCCGCTTTTCACCGATGATAACTATGGTGAGCGTGATGGCAACAAACGCCGTTTTTTCTGGGGGTGTGGTATCTGAATGTGACGTGGTCGTCGAACAGCACTAGCTTTCGGAAGGGAAACATGGCGAATATAATCAACTAACGACTCACTGATGAGACTCGCTCTCGCCTATCTTTCGGTCGCCATTTGTTGTTGTACGGCCTGGTATGCAAGCTCAGCTTGATCGTCATAATGCTCTGACGAGGTTCTTCCCTGCTACCACCCCCATGCGGGGGCTTGTAGAATTCGGGACATTTCAGCAATTGTAGTGCTTTATCACAATCATATCTGATGACGTGTGAACATTTTGCCAACATGTAACGATTACTCGCCTCACTTCGCCAAGTGTAACACTCCCAGTGCCATATCAACTGAAAATGGTGCTCGATAATCCATCGAGGCTTTACCAGAGAAGCTGCGCAGACGACTGAAAGAGATCATTCCCGACTCGAAATTGTCTTCCCGCGCCACCTTGAACGTCTCGACCCATCATCGACTCCGTCCTGAACATTGTTGTGGGGCTTTCTCTCGATGTGGACAATTGTCTGTGCGGGCCACTGGTCCTCGGCTGTCTCCAAATACTCGTCGATATCATCCGATGTGAGCCCGTTCGCCTCGGCTAAGTTTGGACTCCAAACCTGAGGTTCCGAGTGGCCAATAGCCAGAGAAGTGGGAGGAGATACTCACACATTTTGACCGAACCACCGGATGACCGCGCCTCCATTCCCCGTAGGGTTGACACCAGAGCTTCGGGATCTCAGGCACTTGATATCCCGGACCAACAGGAACGCTCTTATTGCCAGTTATTTCGAGCCTGTAGGCTTCCTGCCTCCTCTTTCGGCACGGACCGCACGAGTAGGATATGCCTGTGAGGTGAACATTCTCGGAGGGAGAACCGAATATACAGTCTCGCAGCGACCTTGTATTCCAAGCGCCTCGCGTGTATCCAAGCTGGACGGCCGGAGGTCTGCGCAATCGGTGTGATAAATGCGATTGCAGATGAAGCACCGAGCTCCCTCGCTAGGCCCGGCGGTCTGTTGCCGCTTCTCAGCATCAGGCGTCATCGAGTTCAAGCAAGGAGTCAGTCCAACGCCCAATACCAGAGGGTCGCCAACGGGAGGCCGGTCTGAAGAAAAGGGACGCAATCCAAGAACAGAACTCATATCCTTCTGTGCTCCCACCCGAGCTTGAAGCTGTACGAGCGTTGAGTACGTGGGCCTCGGTGAGGTTCGTTCTATCGCTACGTCTACGCTTCTTCTCCCCGATGACAGCCGAGGTCCGACGGCGCTGAAAGTAAATGTCGCACATCCGGAGATTGGCATCATTTCGGAACTGGGTTTCCAGGCATAGGCGCTATCCGCTTTATAAGGCTTCAGCCAGGATGGCCAAAAATACGAGAATGGATTCGAGGATTCTCACGCCCGACTCACTCTCATTGGAACTACTATACCACCGCACAATGCGCATGGGGAGGACGGCTCGGATTTCGGAGTTCTCGGTAGAAACGACTGCCGAGATGGACCAGAGCCCGATGGAGAGATCGGACTCCATGAGCTGGAATGATCGGCGCTGCCTTCGCCGACCCTAAACGATTCCGACACCATGTGAGTCTAAACCTTGAAGAGAGGAAGAAATCGAATCGATCGGAACCTCAGAGTCGATCCAGTACGAGATTCGCAAATTCCAATCGCCCTAGGCGAAGAACTGAACGAGATACTAGCTGTAGATAGCCTGCTGGAATTCACCATGCAGACGCTGAATAGGACGACGACTCGCACAAACAACTAGCTCAATAGCGAGCCGTCCTTGGACGATCACGTTTGGGAGTACGCAAGCGCACGACTACCAGTATTTCCCTCCTCGTCGCAAGTGTCTCGCGAAATAGCGATCCAAGGAGTTCTCGATCTACGTGGTAGTTTCCGAGAGGTCATCGAGTTGAATCCGTGTCAGGAGTTGATGAGGGCCCAGCAGTGTTTGACAAACACTCAAGTTGGACCTCTAAACCTCAATCGTTTTTGTGCGACAAGAGCCTCTCCGGCACGCGTATCACATGCCGTGCCGTCTCATGCAGCCAATGCATGATATCGGGAGGACACTAAATCGATCGCCTGTCTACTAAGTGAATAGCGTTAGTTCATCCAGTATCAATCGCTGACGAGCCGTTAATCAGAACCCCTCGGTTGAGCAGCACCTTCACCTGCCTCCACCGACACGGTGCCAGTCTCTGAACGGAAACTATCACTAGCCCTTCTCATGATTGAGATCTTTGGCTGTTGATTACTCAATACTTATCTGTATCTCGAAAGTGTCATGGCGTTTACAGGGGTAAAACCGCGCGTCATCACCATGTTCAAGCCCATGTTTCGAAGGAGATCATGATCCGATGTTCTCTACCAACCGGCAGACGACTGTCCCCGGTGTTCTAGGAATCGTGATTCGCCTGGATTCGAAGCTTAGCCAGGGCTTCTTGACCCCTCTAGTGATGTTGCTCACCACAATCGTCAAAAGTCTTCCTTGTACTCATAACAACGCAATGCAATCATCAATAAAAGGAGTAAAACTCAGTCCTATAGAGCATATCAAGAGTCATAATGCTCAGCGACTACTCAGTGAGTAATACTCACTCTAGCCCATCAGCGACACCTTTGAAAGTTAAGCCACGCTGTATCAACTCGACTCTGTATCCGTCGGGGTCCAGTACGAAAGCGATGTTGCGCATAGCGCCCTCGTTGGGCCTCTTATGGAAGGGGACCGCCTATAGTGAACACGACCAGTATATTCGACAACATGCCTTCTAATCCTCAACGAAGCACATGTGTCACTAATTGAAGTACTGCTAAAGTGTATGATAGAGAATCAGAGAAGCTCACCTGTCCTTCAAGAGCAACACAGAATGCATCCAAGTCATCTACTAAGAAGGCAGTGTGACCGAATCCCTTGGGAGACGTATTGCCATCGTGATACCTGATGACCAAGGTTGATCACTCACCGTGCCACTAATAAGGAGGACTCACTTCCCACCGCTAGGCGGCTCCTGGTTGTGAGTAAGCTCGATAACAGGTTGCCACAAGCTGTTGACGAAGTCCTTAGCCTCAGCAGATTCTGGTGGGGGAGCCCGTGCTTTTTGCTCGGGAGTCAAAGAAGCTAAGAAGTAGAGGGAGAAGTCACCGTGATCCGAGCACCTGTTAATTTAGATGCGCTACGCTCCGTGACAATCAGAACGGGTTTCACTTGACAACCTGCATGCCCAACTGGTCGACATAGAACTTGAGACTCTTCTCAGCATTCACAACCCGCAGCATAGTCTGTGCCAAGCTGGTCCCATGTAAAGCCGCTCCTCCCTTAGTGCGGGCAAGAATTTCGATCCAGTATCTGGCAGTTCCACATGATTCCATTGATGACTCCATGAGCAGGCTACTCACCCATCAGGATCTGTTGCGAATGCCACATCGCGCATCCTACCCTGAGATGGGAGCTTCCTGAAGTGAACCCCCTCCTTCTGAAGTGCCTCACATGAGGCTTCCAAGTCATCACCTATATCAACAGAACAGCATCAAGACTAGAAGGACAGGCGCGGCTGGGTTTCCAGCGCAAAAGAATCTCACTTTCTATATGGAAGGCGATGTGGCCGAATCCTCGGTGAGGTTCCTCATTCCCGTTATTGGCTTTCCAGTCGACAGGATCATCCCAGCTATGAGTGAGCTCCAAGTAGTTATCTGAACACAATAGGAATGAAATGAGCCGATCTGGATCGCGATGACGAACAACTGTCCGCCTTAGATTTGATAGCCGCATCTCACCAGGCATCGTCCAGAGGTACTTTTCACTCTCCAGAGTGCCAACCGTGGTAGGCAGTTCACCAGCAGCATCCGGCCTCGGTGTCTCGAGGAAGTAGAGAGAGAATTTCCACTGAGGGAAGTCGTACCTTCAGTGAGAAGGCAATGCCCGATGAGACCAAGATAACTAACATTACTTGTGAATGAGTTTCATCCCAAAGTGTTTTGTATAGAAGTCAATGGTCACCTTAGGGTCCTTCACCCTCAACATAGTGTGCTGGAATTCACTATGGAGCTTCTGGCACATGCTCGCGGCCGTAGGGCCAACTCGCCCAGCACGAGACTCCATTACATGCGACCAACCGAACGCCATAATCTCAATAATGCTAATAACGAACCGATTCCACTGAGGTAAATACTCGCCAACCATCGATGAGGTTGCACACTGTCATCATAATACCACAGACAAGAGTAGTCAAGTCAGCCTCCTCACCTAACAAGATGAATGTACTTGTGAGGTGCTGATTTCAATGTAGATATGATCGCAGCTTGCTCTGATAGATTGGGACAGCTACACATTTGCATCACAATCGTTTGTCCCCAACTAAACGCAACTCTGTGTGTCAATAAGCACCTTTCTGATGTAAGCCGTGACGGCCCTTACTCACGGTATTTTTGCGACACAAATCCGATGTCTCCGGGACCCTCTCTACCATCCACATATCAACACAAGTCTTCAACGGTGAATTCACTACAACACATTACATGCATTCATGACTATAGGCAAATGCCACTGGGTGGTGAACTACCGTTCCTCCGCTGTACAACAACAGTGCGAGGGAGAAGAGAGCACCATCCTCGCGGAGCGATGATTATCTTTATTATGTTTGAAAACAGTGAGTGATTCAAGGGCTGCATTATCCGTAGTGCTCAAAAAGTCAAACAAGAGCAATTCTTTTTGAGTGATTCGTTCGAGGCATTAAAACAGTAATTAAAAAAATGACTAGATTCATCACAACTGCTGATACAACGACTATTTTGGAGTTTCAAATCACAATGCGACGATTCTCAACCGATTAATGGCCACCAGTAGTCAGCGTGACTTCCATCATGGAAGTGTTCGAAAGGCTCAGTGTCGTTCTCCAACAGGTACTCTAAGGCTTCGGGACTCCACCCACCCCCAGTCACCGACTCGGGCAGCATAGGAACACTATCTGCTGATGATATGAGATCAACAGGCATGGACTCTGAAGCGGCTGGGGCGTTTATGAAGGACTCGGGGGAGCTGCAGGAGGCCGTTCCAGCAGCTGTTGATGAGGCCTCGACAATGGTGAAGGGGTCATCAGCAATCTCGTTCATTAACCTCTCCTCAAAGCTGGCCAGGGCGAGCTCCATCATCGCACAGGACCGGAGCTGAGGGGAGGAGGGTAGAGTAAGACGAGCCTCTCTGTGCTCAGCCCTCAGGATCAGCGTTTGCTTTCCTCACCAACGATACAAGTTCATATGCGAATTCGAATAGAAGTGTACAGAAAGCAATGAGAATTCCACAGAATTTCCTCAAAATTTTCACACTGTCACCAACACATGCAGTTGACCATGTGCATATTCTCCCACACTGCTCGGAACGGTCGCCACAGAGACAACGGCAGAGCCCAACAGGAATGCTGCAGCTTACGATTGATTTTATTTGCTCCCCACTGAGAGTGTCAAGATTCTGCAATATCCTGGCACACGACGACAACAGGAAGCCGCCGTTGCTGGAATTTGCCTTCATCCCAAGACGGGCCATAAGACTAAACAGTAGCACCTACAACAAGGGAGCACGTACCATCCACACTGCGCGTCTTCCCTACAATGTCCTCTAATGAGACATCCTCTAGCTTGGCCACTGTAGAGAACTTATGGGCAGTAGCTTGCATAAGGGCACCCACTCTGCCACAGGCAGACTCGTAATCCGGCAACCCCAAGGCCAGGTCTGGCATGACGTGCAGTTCTTCTACTCCCAAGGGCGGAGCCTTGACGCTCTCCTGTCAGCGACAGCACAGTGCCATGATAGAAAGTAAGATAGAGCAGGCACCTGGTCGAATGCCTGCATGACGGTGATAATCTCATCGACCCTCACAACGGAGAGGTTGTCCAGGACGTAACTGAGATCGAGATATGAGGAGCCCTTGGGCCACCCTCAAGGGCTCCTACCTGCTTGCTGTCATCAACATAGGCAAGCTGGTGTAGCCCAAACTGTACATGGGACGAAGGACCTTCGAGATGAGGAACTTGCCGTATTTGTATGGAGTCAATACCACATCAGCAGCAACCGCCTGGGAACACATCACAACAAAAAAATCACAATTACAGCGGAGCGAAGCAGAATAAAAGTGGTTGAGCTTCGAACACACTCACATCCATCAACTGAGTGGAGGAATAGTTTAGCTTGGCCAGCGAGCACATCACATTGCCAACCCCCTGGCCGTCGTAGCGTGGCATCATTGCGGCCACGCAAGCGCAGATCTCCTGCAGCAGTTTTTCATTGTAACTGCCAATCAAAGCCTTCCAAGCCGGCTGCTATGGCAGCACTAACCAGTTGAGCCGTCCATAAGCATAGAGGAGGTTGGAGACCTCCTGGGGCTTGAACGTGGCCAGACTATTCGCCACCTCCTTAGCGACCAAGTCCATCAGCTCTCTATCACAATACCCGACTCGAGATAGCCCGTAGAGCATATTAGAGAAATTCTGGGGGCGGAAGTGGCTGAGCGGGAGTAAGGCAGTAACAGACGCGATAAGAGGGGAAGGGAGGCCCACTGTAGTCGAGTCTTGGCAGCCTCCACAATGGCTCGGACCACCTCCGTCTCCTCAACCATCTGCAGCTTACCAATCGCCCAACATATATTGGACAGGGACTGGCAGCTAGAGGTCGATACCAACTATAAAGAGCCGCGATGATACCCACGACCGACGATGATGGAGTAATCTCTCGTTACTTCAATGGCTCGCCTAAGGACTTGCTTCACTCTCGCGTCCTTGGCAAGGGCTCTCTGGTTCTGTTCTTGGTTTTGTGTCAAACTCGCTAGACGGTGTATTAGGGTCGACACATTCACCGAGTTGAGCTCATGCAGATGGGCTTCCACTATCATAAGGAGCCCGTGGACAGACCTGACCACATCTCCTGACTAACACACAGAAAAGGGCGGGCAGACTACCGCGACTTTGCAGCGGCCAAGATGCTCCGCTGAATTTCGAGCTCATTTGCGGTAGGCTGATGACGGTGATTGTCGTCGGGCTCCCCCTGTCTATTGCGACCATTGCTGATGTTAGGCTGAGAATGGCACCGTCCTCTCTTCATACCAAGAGATGATTTAGTGACTACTCTGTATGACTCGAACCCTGGTGGCTCTCCCACATGCTGCTGGCCATAGCTGCTGCAGGCATCTCGCTTGGGATGCTGACCGAGATCACCACTATAGACTGCAGCACTCCAGTGTCCACTACTTCCTCATTGCATTCGATGAGCGTCTGCGGGGGCATAATAAGAGACGGCCGAGTCGACATAGGCTCTCCACTCTGCCGGGTCGCTTCATTCACCAATGCTGCAGCAGCCGCGGCAACTGCCTCGGCCTCCACTCCTATGGCGTCCTCCTGCTCCTCAGGGCCAGCCCTCCTCAGCACGGCATACATCGTCACCCTACCTCCACTCTATCCTCTTGTTCTCCTTGAGGCTCGTCGTCGTGCTTCCGGCCTACTCCCTTGCCAGACCCTCGCTCGGCCTCTCCACTAGGGCCCAAAGCTTCCCTGAGCACCGCTGCTTTCGCCGGCAACTTCGCTGTGGAGGGCAATAAGATACGGCAGATCCTAAAATGATCAATATCGCGGCTCCACTGTAGAGATCCGATGGGCTCACCAAAGAGTCAGCGGAATGCTAACTGCGTAATACAGAATGTCGTTTATGTCAAATACCATCTCGCTATAACTGCCGTTGGTAGTTACATAATAACTGTGAAGTGGACGAGGAGTGGTATGCAAATAATGAATCCAACATTCCAGGATAGGCAAGAAACATCGCTCGGAAACGTCATGTTTCATATCGTGGTATGGAGTTGTCACTAGATACTATCAAATAGGACATCAACAACGCCTGGGACCTTCCTCTCTGTAGGCGGCTGTGCTCTGACTGGCCCGGTCCCCGTCGAACCACCACGAGTAAGAGCAGCCTCCAAATCCCTTCGCATGACGGATCTCCGCATGATCTGTTGCCCAGCTTTGGGCGTGGCGCTCGGGTATGCTCGCTCGGCCACATCCAGGGCTCCCCTCTCCTACAGATCGGCTGCTAACACCAACGTACCACACCACTGCTACTTTATCGGGCAACGCCGTGGACACCTCGGGCAACTGAGCTCGACACGTTCGCCATGCATGAGCGATGAAGCGTCGATCGTCTCCACTCAATGAGCTCCCATCGATAAGACGTCGGCTCAGCACCAGAAAACAGGAGCCCACCACCTCCACAAGGGGCTTCCCTAAGGCAGTCTAATCTGAGGAATAGTTGTCTACAGCACAACCCCACCATCACACAGCTCGGTCATCCCCAAAAGGCACGAGGAGATCTGAGTGAGCTCTCGAGTCCTGACTGACGTCAGCTGAGCTTTTTGAAGCCACTCGAATGCCATGTTATAGAGTGCCGTCATAGAGTCTATCAGAGGCCCGCTTTGCCGCAGCTGATTGGAAACGTGGTGGCCTGAGGCATCTCACCGACTCATGCAAATAATCTACCCCATGCTCGACTAAGCCTTACTGGGCCCCCGACTTTTCCGGATGCCATACAGCTTCCTATGCACTGCATCAAGAGCCATGGACAAGGCGATAGGGGAGGCTTCTCCTCGTCGCTGAGTAATAGCAGTGAACAACGATACATACAGCATGTTGTTGCCGAACCTAGTGTCACCACTATAACATGCCAAGGGAGATGCTGTTAACCCACTTCAGTTTGGTCAGTCCCTGGACGAGCATGCCCAGCTCCACTGTAGTGAACTCTTTGAGGCCGAGAGCGTTTAGGGCACAGTGAGTCATATGAGATAGCATACGATAGTCATAAAAGCGCATCTTAGCGGCAGCCAGGACTACAGCATTGACGTTCCTTGGCCGGAGCTCATTTAGTCGGCTTTTGAGCGGCCTGTAAGGAAATGCCGAGGACAATTCTAGTTGGAGAGTTCAGTAAAATAGATCTCCCAAATTCCTAATTTCATCAAGAGAACATCTCCTTTACTTCAGTCGGTTAGAACACCGAACTTACAACGCGAAGATCGCAGGTTCGAATCATGCAACGACTACTTTAAATTTCGATCCTACGATACTATTTTCCACCAAAACCCCAGAGACCTTATATCCTTCAACCCCCTATTACTCGACAAGGGCCAGCAACAATTTCGTGTCAGTGGCCTCGAAACTAGCCAGAGCAGTTACAGCTAGGGTGATGCTGTCGACCTGCCGTTCGTTACACACTACTACCACATCCACGTCTACGAGAACTACTTCTAAGGAGTCTCCACTGAGCACCACAGCGTGTGCCAGTTTGTCAATGACCAGCCTGCAATCACTTACTTCATACATACTAAGACTGTAGAGCAAACTGGCCGCAGTACTGCCCTGTATCTGACGAATCGATGGTATTAGCGTTTGAATATGTGTTCGCTTTTCTCACTAATTATAGGAGTTAACATACGAATCCGGGTAGAAGTGTACAAAAACTACTAGGAATTTCGCAAAATTTTCTCTTGTCACCAACACATGCAGTTGATCATGTGCATACATTCCCATACTGCCTGGTGTGCTCTCAATCGCCAAGTGTATCCCCCTACATCAGCACTAGCAAGGAGGCGCATCTTCACTCGCTGGAGTAGTTCATCTCCTACAACATGCTCCCTCCCACCAGTGAAGATTTGAAGGGCCGAACATAAGTCCTCAGGGCAAAGGTCATCTACTCTGCTCATTATAAGGTCCCTCACTTTCGGGAACAACTGGCTACCCCCATCATCATACCCAAGCCTCGCCAGCGCCCGCATTGTCGTGATCACAGCAATGATCCTGCCGGTCTCAAGCACCTTAGATGCTTCCACTGCCTCGCCGGCCGTCCGAGCGATCCCGGGTTCGATTCCCACAACCTTCGATATTGAGTTTAAAATGCTCGCTATAGTCGTATCCTCTGCCCTGACTAAGTTATTTTTCAAATGTGGTAGAGAACATCGCACAAGTATCGCGGAATCTTCAGGCTGCGCAAACCGTGTTGAGAACTGCAAGATACTCGCCAGATGCGCCAAGGCTGGCCGATCCAAGTCCGGCATCATATCAATGGACCGAGCCGCGCCCTGCACAAACCTGGTCACATCTGCCATCACCACCCCAGGGCGACTAAGAGCGTTGATCCTCTGGGCTAAACTGTAGAGCGAAGGGACAGCTTCCACCGACGGTCCACCACCAAGCATCGGCGAGCACACAACTGGCAGACCTGTACAGAGCTCTCCTTATAAGGAACACGACACCCTATATGGACGGCTTAGCAACATTCATCATAGAAAATGACCAGGTGCACCATGAGCTCTTCTAAGAGCTCCATTCGCACGCTCTAGTGGAGCTATTTTGACAGAACCTTCTTCTGCAGCCTCTATTGAGTCCTATTATCAAATACAGCGAGAGCCGCCAGAATCATCAGACACATCACTCTAGGTACTACAGACCCGCATCCAGGGACAATACTCCTACCCCTTTGCCTACACCAAGCCAAGCCGATACTCCGCTGCAATGCTTGATATTCGCTGCAAGTGGCTTTCAAAGTTGTATCGGATCAGTCACGCGACTCACACAGTCCGATCAAAGAAGGGTGGATCCGCGAAGCTTAGGCACCTCCCTTGCCTTGGCGGTAGATTCGCCCAACATGACTGAGATAGATACCATAGCATCATCCCATAAGATTGTGCCAACACCACAGCCATGAGCATGATAACAAACTCCTCGGAGCACTACTAGTACTAATGAGAGCAAAGACAGTAGGCTAAAGAAGTTACCGTCATTTAGTTACCATCACAGCAATAGGAAAAATATTAGTGACTACAGGGGGGAGAATACAAATGCCGATGGTCATCGTTGGCCAAACGCTGCTACGAAAAATCCTTTGGTACCATATGCGACGACACACCAGGGAAAAACTTCAGCAAACTTCAAGCACGTACTTCGATGAGATCCTCAACAACATGCTTATCGTTCTCCATCTTAGTCGTAGCAGTAGTGGATGGAGAAGGAGGAGGAGAGGGAGCCACTGTGACGGCCAGAGGCAACATGCTCCTAACACACTCGTACACTTCCTGCCAATTCGTGGCCACGACTGTTTCCCTAGGAAGGGGAGACTCCGGGTCATGGCTCCAACCGTACCTACCACACCACCAGCAATCTACACCATCAGGACGGTGCCCTCGACTACCCATGGTCGTAGTCGTAAAGGATGCCCCCGAATCCATGGCTAAGGGCATCATTGATGTACATGGGGTTATCGTCGATCAATAAGGTAGCGCCTATGGCCTACCAGGACATAGCAAGGACGGCCGGATCAGAACGATTCGTTACTTTGCACATGTCAGCCTTGGAAGTCTTCTTTCCAGATAGGCCGAAATGGTTGCCTAGATGGACCCGATTCGAAGGAATGCCAAAGTTAGCGAAAACCCAGTCGTAGGTGTCTTGTCGAATTTGCTGAGCAGAAAAAAAACACCGTTGGCGATGCCATCGCTCGAGCCAGGGCCTACTACCTCCTGTCTAGAAGTAACTATATGCACTTCAGCGAAGTTGGTGATTTTTCGGACGTATTCCTGAGCACCCGGCACGAGGGGGATGCCAGATTTGAACTCGGGAGACTCATGGAAGATATAACACTTCTCTATAGCCTCTTGAGCCGTACCTGATTCACAACCAGAGTGGTCGTTCGAGCGCAATTTCCAGAGTGCCGAAATTCCTCTGGTAGAGATGGGCTAGTCAGCTATCCATTAGCACGGTTAAGGGTAGTAGTACCTCCTTGAACCTCCCAGAAGCGGTACGTGAAGAAGTCTGAGACCCTCAAGTGTGTGCCGTAGACCCTATTGTGCCACTTAGTGTAAGTGGCCAAGTACTGCCCAAGGACCTCATCAAGGTCGCAGGCTACTACAGGCCGCTGGTGCTTAGCAGCAGCAGAGCTGACGATATGTAGAGTGCTACCTCCAGCCATGGAGATCTAATGATCTACCTGACGACAATAATAATTGCTTCAACGATTGTGCATGTGGGCGAGAAATTCCGTTTGTATGAACGATTACCACGCTTATAATCGTCCGTGCGCCAGAAGACCTTACCCATACATAATCGTCACAGTACCACAGGAAAGGATTCCTCCCGTAGTTAACTTTGTTGATTAAGCAATGTCGACTAATATCCCTGTCGTCGTTAAGTGGGGGAAGGCCACCTATAATATTGAGGTCAACACTGCGGAATCCGTGGCTGTTTTAAAGGTAGTATTCCACGCAAGCCGTGGTGCATTCGAGATGGAATTGAACCTGCGTCGCCTCCTTATGCTCGAGAGGTTTTACCGTCAGCGTGGATTCGCCTATTCAGACTCAGCTGGAGAACCTCACGAGTGTGCCGCATGACAAGCAGAAGATCATGGGCCTACCAGGCGGCCTGCTCAAGGACAGCGATGACCTCAGCAAGAAGATCACCAAGCCTAATCAGAAGATCACTCTATTAGGTCGGCCTCCTCCTCCGCTCTATAGTGGCAATATCATCTTGGATCGCCCCCCTCAGGGACTGCCGTGGCTCAGCAATTGAAAGCCCCGACCGCGAGCACCGTCTTCGTAGAGGACCTGTCGGACGAGGAAAGGAGGAAGGTTCTCAAGGTACTTCAGTTTGATTCGCCCCTTCGGCAAGGCACCAGCATGTGGTCAATCTGCCTTGCCGTGCTTCACTACGCTAATCGAGAATCCCTATGAGTAGTCTGATGTTTTTACGTTACCTCAGGAAAGGGAGGTCGAGACTCTACCTATTGGGTTGGTGAATCTGGGCAACTCCTGCTATATGAACGCCACCTTACAGGCCCTATATGCAGTTCCTCCTCTACGACAGGCACTGTTGAAGTAGTAGCAAAGGGATTAGTAGGCTCCTCAGTATAGTTGTGTACTCAGCTACGACAGTAGTGCTCATAGTGAAGGCAGCAACCAGGAGAGGAGCCTGAGCGCCTTGATACACCAGACCTTCAAGGACCTCGGCACTAAGGCTGATGCAGTCGAGCCCGCCAGCTTATTTATGCTCCTTCGAGTTATGTATCCCGAGACCTTCGGAAAGACAACGCAAGGAGGTACTTGGGCCGGTCGTCGTTGTCGTGGTCGTGGCAACACTACCGCGTGCTAGGTATTCCCCAACAGCAGGATGCCGACGAGTTCCTCCGGGCTCTCATGCTCAACCTCTCTGACACGGTCAAGACGCCTCACAGTAATGTTATCGATGATTTGTTTGGCTTCACAATGAAGACTCGCATGCGGTAATAGGACCATGTGCTTCACAAAGACCTGATGCTACTGCTACTACTAGGTGCCTGGAGGCTGAGGCAGAGCCGGAGTCTGTCTCGGAGGAGCGTCATCGAGTGTTGTTGTGCCACATGGGCACTCCTACTGACCCCGTAGGGCACCTCTACCAGGGAGTTCAGCTCAGTCTGAAGGAGACTATCACCAAGCAAGCTTCGGTAAGCTGCCTGTTGGTGAAAGAGGACCTCTGAGGATCTACAGGTCCTCGGTCGCGACGCTGAGTTCGAGAAGTCCTCGGCCATGGACTCCCTTCCGGAGTACCTTATAGTAGAGTTCGCCAGGTTCCAGTGGAAGGGAGAGAGCACCTCAGCTGGTAGGCTCCACATCTCGTGGCGAGCCGCCTTCAGTGGTCTCTGTAGGCACTCATGCTACTAGGACCAAGATCACTCGAAAGGTCACCTTCCCGCAAGTGCTAGACGTGTACGATTTCTGCACGGAAGATGTGCGGAAGCAGCTCACTCGTGGACGACAACGCAGAAGGTAGTAGCACTGGCGATGAGGAGTTTCGTGATGCACAACTTCAGGGTTTACATGGACGAGCAGGAACGGAAGAGGATCCAAGCTAAAGAGGCTAATAGGAAGGACAGCGATGTCGAGATGGACGCCACTGAGGAGGACTCGAGCGTGGCACAGGTGAGAGAAGGATCTTGCTTACCGCTGTGATGGTTACTGTGATAGATACCCACGGGCAACTACAGGTGTGTATCAATAGTCTCCCATGAGGGACGATCGGCTGAGGGTGGACATTATATGGGCTGGGCTAAGTAATGCTACGTGCCTCTATACTGCTGAGAGTACTGGGGGCCTCTAGGTTCAAGGAGGCCGATGGTGACGTCTTCAAGGAGGACCAATGGGTTAGATTTAATGATGACAAGGTTACTCAGCATGATTGGAAGTAGCAGTACTCGAGATTGCTGATGCCGGAGTTGGACCATTGTAGGTATGTCGTGGACC